AACTGCATACTTTCTAGTATTACTCTTTTTTTTTAATTTCCATATTTTTCTACTGTTAAAATGTCACATATTATTGTTCTGTCTTTATAAAGTGGAATTTTGTAATCTTGTGATTTTCAGAGTTTTCATGTTTGTCAATTTTGTCGGGACATTTTGCAAAGTTCTAACAACCCAATTTTGGATCACCCCAAGTGTCTGACTTATGTTTAAAAAGCCAACAAGCAAAACAAATCATATTATTTGCCTTGAACGAATATACTAGTCAGTGTCGTATTATTTTCTGACCCCATATCGTTATTTTCCTTTACCAATAGGCACTAAAATGGTGTGACCAGTTACATTTGTGGGAAAAATCTTTAAAGATATCTTTGAGACTTGGTTGACAAGGATAAAACTCTAGATCCGGTGTTACGTGTGTATCACAAAACAAAAATAAAAAAAGATTTGTAGGATTTTCCAGATTTGTATAAATAGCATTAAGTTTGACTTGCTCTGTTTTTTGTCAGCATCGTCTTCTAAAATCTCTATGGACTATACCTTAATGTCTTGAGTCTCGACAACTTGATTCTGCATATGAGATGATGTGGTTGCCTGTATATTTAGTGCTCGGGTACTTTCAGACACGTTGACTCCTGGTTGTGTTGTTGAAGTTGTTGCAGCTTGAAAAATATGTCTGCAATTTGGCCCATTTGGATGATGCTTTTTGGCAACCTGAAATGTCTTTCAATTTCTTCCTCTCCCACCCTCAATTTCCTTTCTTTATTGGTTTTCTTTTCATTTAATAACCTTAACTAACGAATACTAAGTGCCACTGTTGTCTTGGTCGCAATATATTTAGTTTGACACACCAAAGAATTTAAATGGGGCAATTACCTTTTGATATTTACTCACTATTCAAAACTAATAATTAGCCGATAATCAGCTATGCGATCAGTGTGGGTTTAAGTTTTTTTTTTTAAATACAAAATATGCCTTAGTCATATTTAATCTAGTAAAATAAATATTGGCAGTTTTTAGCAGAAAATTGAAAGTCCTGTTGCACCAAGAAGACCATCCCTTGGAAACCATCTGACAATTCTCCACTTTATTTAGTTAAACCCAGTCTTAAAAGTAAAAATCACTAGTTGAAATGTAGCAGCATAAGTATTATAACCACATACATATTATCAGTTTATGTCGAATATAATTTTAAAAACACATGAATTAATAATAAACCAATGTTATTAATAAAAAAAAACTTAATAATTTAATAATAACACCCTTTAGTGTGAGCTACAAGAAATAAAATAAAATCAAAGCTTAATAATTGACATGGTTACAAATATTCACTTCTTTTAAGGCGATTTTCTTTGACTTTTATCCTCTTCTGTTTTCTCCTCTCTTTTTCTTTTTCTTGGATTGACTTCACCTTGTGTTGATGTACCAGATTGTGGTGGAACATCCTGATCAGTAGTATTGGAAAGACGTGCCATTGTCTGTGATCTTGTGGAATATCCTGTCTGATTCTGTACTTGTTGTTGAACCAGTGTTTTCTTTAGTGGCCAGCCAATTCCGAAAGTCCTTTTTGATTTCGTCTAGAAATGATCCATACGATCTGAACTGACCCATTCCACTATGCCCCAACAACCCAACCTGAGCATCAGAACCTCTCACTGAAAATTTAACCCTGAGGTTCGGTCCAAAGGCAAACCCTAAATGACACTGCTGGCAAACGTTAGTGAGTGTGCAAATCACCTGTTGCCTATTGTTGGACTTTTCCATCAAAAGAGTAACAGGCGAGCCATCATATGGAGAATTACAAATATTTACTTCTTTGAAGGCGATTTTCTTTGACTTTTACCCTCTTGTTTTCTCCTCTTTTTCTTTTTCTTAAATTGACTTCACCTTGTGTTGATGTACCAGATTGTGGTGGAACATCCTGATCAGTAGTATTGGAAAGACGTGCCATTGTCTGTGATCTTGTGGAATATCCTGTCTGATTCTGTACTTGTTGTTGAACCAGTGTTTTCTTTAGTGGCCAGCCAATTCCGAAAGTCCTTTTTGATTTCGTCTAGAAATGATCCATACGATCTGAACTGACCCATTCCACTATGCCCCAACAACCCAACCTGAGCATCAGAACCTCTCACTGAAAATTTAACCCTGAGGTTCTGTCCAAAGGCAAACCCTAAATGACACTGCTGGCAAACATTAGTGAGTGTGCAAATCACCTGTTGCCTATTGTTGGACTTTTCCATCAAAAGAGTAACAGGCGAGCCATCATATGGAGGATTACAAATATTCACTTCTTTGAAGGCGATTTTCTTTGACTTTAACCCTCTTGTTTTCTCCTCTTTTTCTTTTTCTTGGATTGACTTCACCTTGTGTTGATGTACCAGATTGTGGTGGAACATCCTGATCAGTAGTATTGGAAAGACGTGCCATTGTCTGTGATCTTGTGGAATATCCTGTCTGATTCTGTACTTGTTGTTGAACCAGTGTTTTCTTAAGTGGCCAGCCAATTCCGAAAGTCCTTTTTGATTTCGTCTAGAAATGATCCATACGATCTGAACTGACCCATTCCACTATGCCCCAACAACCCAACCTGAGCATCAGAACCTCTCACTGAAAATTTAACCCTGAGGTTCGGTCCAAAGGCAAACCCTAAATGACACTGCTGGCAAACGTTAGTGAGTGTGCAAATCACCTGTTGCCTATTGTTGGACTTTTCCATCAAAAGAGTAACAGGCGAGCCATCATATGGAGAATTACAAATATTCACTTCTTTGAAGGCGATTTTCTTTGACTTTTACCCTCTTGTTTTCTCCTCTTTTTCTTTTTCTTGGATTGACTTCACCTTGTGTTGATGTACCAGATTGTGGTGGAACATCCTGATCAGTAGTATTGGAAAGACGTGCCATTGTCTGTGATCTTGTGGAATATCCTGTCTGATTCTGTACTTGTTTTTGAACCAGTGTTTTCTTTAGTGGCCAGCCAATTCCGAAAGTCCTTTTTGATTTCGTCTAGAAATGATCCATACGATCTGAACTGACCCATTCCACTATGCCCCAACAACCCAACCTGAGCATCAGAACCTCTCACTGAAAATTTAACCCTGAGGTTCTGTCCAAAGGCAAACCCTAAATGACACTGCTGGCAAACATTAGTGAGTGTGCAAATCACCTGTTGCCTATTGTTGGACTTTTCCATCAAAAGAGTAACAGGCGAGCCATCATATGGAGGATTACAAATATTCACTTCTTTGAAGGCGATTTTCTTTGACTTTTACCCTCTTGTTTTCTCCTCTTTTTCTTTTTCTTGTATTGACTTCACCTTGTGTTGATGTACCAGATTGTGGTGGAACATCCTGATCAGTAGTATTGGAAAGACGTGCCATTGTCTGTGATCTTGTGGAATATCCTGTCTGATTCTGTACTTGTTGTTGAACCAGTGTTTTCTTAAGTGGCCAGCCAATTCCGAAAGTCCTTTTTGATTTCGTCTAGAAATGATCCATACGATCTGAACTGACCCATTCCACTATGCCCCAACAACCCAACCTGAGCATCAGAACCTCTCACTGAAAATTTAACCCTGAGGTTCTGTCCAAAGGCAAACCCTAAATGACACTGCTGGCAAACATTAGTGAGTGTGCAAATCACCTGTTGCCTATTGTTGGACTTTTCCATCAAAAGAGTAACAGGCGAGCCATCATATGGAGAATTACACTTCTTTGAAGGCGATTTTCTTTGACTTTTACCCTCTTGTTTTCTCCTCTCTTTTTCTTGGATTGACTTCACCTTGTGTTGATGTACCAGATTGTGGTGGAACATCCTGATCAGTAGTATTGGAAAGACGTGCCATTGTCTGTGATCTTGTGGAATATCCTGTCTGATTCTGTACTTGTTGTTGAACCAGTGTTTTCTTTAGTGGCCAGCCAATTCCGAAAGTCCTTTTTGATTTCGTCTAGAAATGATCCATACGATCTGAACTGACCCATGCCACTATGCCCCAACAACCCAACCTGAGCATCAGAACCTCTCACTGAAAATTTAACCCTGAGGTTCGGTCCAAAGGCAAACCCTAAATGACACTGCTGGCAAACGTTAGTGAGTGTGCAAATCACCTGTTGCCTATTGTTGGACTTTTCCATCAAAAGAGTAACAGGCGAGCCATCATATGGAGAATTTAAATCGATGACGGCTGAAACCAGGTAACATCCTATGGCACCTGTTTTTAAATTCCTGGGATTTTGAACAGTGACGTTCAACAATGTAAGGGGCATAGCATCAGCATGGTACAACACCATACTGGAGGGCTGTCAGCTACTGTAGGACAGCTATTCTTGTGTGCAGACTTACTGTACGGGATTCTAGATTCTAGATCTAAATGGATTCTAAATTCTACGTCTGAACATAATTTGACTACATTAGTTTGTTTTGTAAAAATCAGTTTTATTTTATCTCTACTATCATCATCATCACTCCTTTTTGGCCCCTGGGGAGCAAAGGGCTGCAACCACACATCTCCAGCGGACACGGTTTTGGGCTGCTCCTCTAATCTGTGCCCATGAGAGCCCAGCTGTTTTCGCCTCCTCCTCAACCGTTCTCTTCCATGTTTTCCTTGGCCGGCCCACCCTCCTTTTCCCCTGGAGATTCCAGTCCAATGCATGTTTTGCGATGTTTTCTTTTTCTTTTCTTAACAAGTGTCCGATCCATCCCCATTTACGGGCCTTAACCCATTCAATCCCGGCCACTCCGAAATATTATACTCTGAAATCCCAGCCAAAGGGGAATAACTCCGCACTTTACACTGGTTGGTTCAGGAAAAAATTGATAGCAACTCTATCTTACACCATAAATACAAGAAATAAAGTGCATTGTATTAAGTATTGAATGCTCCACATGAAAGATTATCATTGGATAATTTTGTTTTGCATTAATTTATGTGCCAGTCAATCAAATGATGTAATGACAGAAAAAATTGAAGTAAAAAGTCACATAAACCTTTAAAGAACATTTTTGTTATAGATTATTGTGGAATATAGCAAAGCAATGTCCTTTACACAAATGTACTTTGCAGAGGAGGCATCCATTAGAGGTTTCTATGGGCCTATTTGTGGGGGTCTTTCTTTTAGACCTAGAACACTCGTAGCATGTTTTTTTCCTGCCGAACATTCTGTTTGGCTGATGTTTTGTGTTGTCCAGTGTGGTTGTGCCAGTGGCTGCAGGGATGTCAGTTGCTGCACGTTGCCGAACAGAAGATCCAGCCATGAGCTGATGACAAAGATCAAGGCGAAACTCTAGGTGTGTCTTAGGTTTCTGCCCAGGATGTCTCTGCATAAACTGTTTTTTATAAATTATGTAAGAGTTTATTGTGGCAACCTGAAGTAAAAACCACACCAGAGACCTCCACCATTTCCTGCTTCTCCTGCCAATGGGATAGTATGATCTCAGTTGATCATGTAGATCTACACCACCCATACCCTTGTTGTATGTGAATACTGGTGTAGGTATCTGCACATCCACACGTCCACCAGCAGTGGTTCGCTGTGTTGTTGACATAGTGGGTTGTGCATTTGTAGATAAAACCTGCACTGGCCTCTTGTCATGAAAAAAGCAAGCAACTAGGTTTCCTATTTGTCGAAACCGGACTCCAGTTTCAGTTGCTGACTTTTTTAGCTTGAGGTTTTTAAATTCTTTAGGCCAACCTTTTCGTGAGGGTCTAATGGTCGCACACGAGTAAGTGTCTCTCTGAAGCAAGTCCTCAGCTAACTTGACACTTGTGAAATAGTTGTCATAGTAAAAATGGTGGTACTTGTCTAGGAAAGGCTCACCCATTTTAAAAACAACATGATAACTCAGTCCATTGGGCATTTTCACATTTGATTTCCCCATGTACACATCAAAGTTATACAAATAACCAGAATGTGGATCAGCAGCGCACCACAACTTGATACCCCAGGGACTTGGCTTATTTTTTATGTACTGTTTGAACACAAGCCTTCCAGTGTAGGCTACCATTGCTTCATCAATAGAAATATCCTTCTCTGGCTTCAAACTTTTAAGAGAATTATTGAGGACAGTGTCAAAGAGTGGTCGGACTTTGAAAATAGGATCATGTCCAACAGTCCCCCGAGGTATAAATACAGCGTTGTTGTTCAGGTGAAAATACTTAGCAATTGCTACGTATCGATTCCTTGACATAACTTTGGACACTGCTGGAACATTTAGTAGGTCATTTGTAGACCAATAGAGTTTATAATGGGGCAACTGATGAATGCCAAACATAAAGTTTATGTACATGAACAGTTTGATGTCTGCAATATCCACAGGCTTCCATGTTGTATCTGGTTTTATAAGAGCTCGTTCCAATGCATAGCGGTTTGTTTCAGTAACACAGTGTCCATAAAACTCTTCAGGAATAAATACTGAAAAGTAATCAAATGCTGTGAAAGAATCATCAGCATTTATTGTAGTACAAGGTCCAACATGTTCAACGAAATCGTGAAGCTGTACCTCAGTCAAAATCGTTGACCAGTCTCGATCACCATCTTCATTGAATTGTTCATTCCTTCTTGGCCTAGTGCCCTCACCATCACTACTAGAACTAGCATCATCATCACTAAAATGCACATTCCCACTTTCTTCATCATTTATTAATTCATAGTCTACATCAGACTCTTCATCGTTATCAAACTGATCAATATCCTCATCCAAATGAGAGGGTCCAGCGCCATCATTTATCAAACTTGTAAGAAAATTGAAAGCCATTTTTTAAAACTACGATATCTCCGAGATGGATCAATGTAATTGAAATTAAATTTTTTAGTAATCTCCCCTGGCCTCGTCTAGTCTCGCAGACGTGAGATTTCGTTTTTATAGGCTACAGTTCCGTAGCTGTTTATCAACGCCTGAGCCGTGTATTTTGCGGCCGGATTTGGCCGTTGCGGGATTGACGCGGTAGCGGCCGGATACGGCCGTTATGGGATTGAATGGGTTAATATCATTCTCTATTGGCTGTTGTTTTAAAATTTGCCACAGGTCTTTGTTTGGTATTTTGTCTCGCTATCTTATTTTGAGTATATGTCGTAAGCATTTGTTTACGAACGCCTGTAGCCTATCAGTATTTGTCTTCGTAACCCTCCAGGTCTCCGAGCCATAGAGTAGCACTGCCTTAATATTCGTGTTGAAAATCCCAATTTTGCTCCGGAAAAGACTCCTTAATCCCTAGTCGGTCAAAAGAATATGAACCATAAAAGCTTTGTATAAGTAATGGTGTCTCGTGTTATGATTATTTGTATGTTTTTTATTTATATTATTAATTTTAAATACATTTCCTTTTTATAAAATGTCATTCTTTAGTAAGTACTTTATAAAAAAAATAACAATTGAGAGAAATAATTGCTTTTTAATTTATTTTGGTACAAATCTATTAAAAGGAGCTTATGAGCGCACCCCTATTTGACTATTTGAAAAAGTAAAATAATTCATGGAAGTGGCTTGAACGTTTGCTTATCTTTGATAAGTTTGATTGTAGGAGAAAGAGGTTCGGCTTTCAGAGTGGTTTAAAAAAAACAAAGGGAAAAAGAATATACAAGTGCGTGGGGTGGTGTCTATAGAATAAAGATAATCCAACCGCAGCTACGGTAATCTTTTTTACAAAACAATCATCAAGTCAAAAATGCAAGAAAATTTTTTTTTTAACTATAAAAAAATTATTATTGTCAGCCGTGGGCCCCTAAATGGCGTGGGCCCCTCCGCATAGCGGGGTCTGGCAGCACTGTAGTTCCGCCCCTGACTCAAAATGAAGCTTTATTGTCTAAATATTTTATCATATAATTGTATGTATTATTAGAATAACCTTGATACATAACTACTTTTCCGATAATATTATTGGGGAAAACAGCGGCTTAGAAAAAAAAGTTTGATTCCAACCTTCACTAGATATTCAAAATCCTAAAAAAGATAAAAAAGATTTTAGATGAAAAAATTTAAATTTTTCCAGAAAGTTGACTTACAGTCCCCTTTTAATAACATGATAATTTCACATGAAATCATGTTATTAAGCCATGAAAAAAAACCAAAACTTTTTCACCTCTACAACACAGAAACACATTAGATTTCACACAATGAATTTGGCAGCTTCCCTTAAAGCTCTCAATCTTGCTCTGCTGGCCTAATCCCTTTACTGAGACATCATCATAGTCACCAGCAGTAACATCTTACATCAGAAGATGGTCTGTGAATGTCTTGCTCTTTTGGGGTAGTATATATTTCCGTACCACCAACATTATCATCATTAATTAATCTGTGGGGAACGGCATGAATTTATCAATGTATCAGCTACTTTATTTCTAAAATTGAAAAAAAATCCAAGATTTCCTTTCTTAGTGTGACATTTCTTATCTCTACATTTGGGTACTCCAACCATTGACCAGAGTAGAATCCTGACCAGAAACTTCCTTGTTTTAGCCTTTATTCTGTGCATAGATAATCAACAAACCATTTTGCTTATTCCTTCTATGTATTCATTGCCCATTTTGACACACTTAAGCCTGTCAACTCAAGTGAAATCTTGTTTGGCTCCACTCCATCAACGTAATTGGTCTTTATTGTCCACTTTAACCAAGTTAGATGTTAATGTAACCTAACAGTGTTTGTGAATTGATAAATGTTAGCTTCTAGTGTAAATGTTTCAAATAAAACAGGTGAAAAATATTGTGTAAATTATTGGGATGGTATATTGAAGCCATGGCTTAGAACTTTGAATTTCTCATTAGTATTCTTAAGCTTGTGCATTAATAAGTTGTCTAAATGCATCTAACACAACAAAACCATTCTTCATGTTGCATGCATTCACTCAGAGTTCATTGAAAATCAAAGATGACGTTATCAACATGCACATTATGTGCAAGTAGTAAGTTCCGTCCTTTGTCATTATATTCTTAGATAATATGTGCTTTGACTTTATACTGTATGTGATTTACACTTAAACTTGTAATTTAAATGCATTGATTCTTTTCCTATAGCTATATTAGCATAGGTGGATCAAGTGGCACCTAGTATCCCAAAATATTTGGAAGAATGTATTAAAAATGTCATTTTGCTGTACTAAATACTTTTTCAAAAAGTGCACAGTATTCTGACAGTTAACTATTGATTTGTAAGTGCAACTTTTTGCACCCTCATTTGCACACAGTTACTAGTTTTTAAATATTGTAAATACAAGTTATCATATTTTTTATTAACCACAACACTTGAATAGTGTGAGGATGTAAAAAATCTCATAAATTGTCAGCCATCTTTATATTTGAGAAAAATGTATCTGTATAGATATATATGTCAATAAATCAAATTTTTAAGTACCAGTACTTAATTTGCAATAAAATGAACCTGTTTACTTTATTGGTTCATGAACAAAACATGTATTTAAAAAAATTGTTTGACACAATAAACAAACCTAAATTGTTTTGATTTGTTTGTTATTTTAATCATTCATTGATCTTGATCTAAAAACAGCATTTCAAAAACTATCCCAACAAACATCCAAGTGGTAACTATTTTAAGGATTTTTTTCTACTTTAATAAAAAAATATTTTTTTTGGTTTCTCATTTGAAGACAAAGAAAACTCACTAATGTGATATCTTTAAATCAGTAAACCAACCAGACTATAAGTAAACAATTTTTCCTATGTTAACCCATTATAGAATCCATTTCTCTTCCATCCATTTCCTCCTTGCTCTCCGTAGTGTCCATCCTTGTTTCTTTGCCAATCATAATAACATGCTTATAGTTTGGCATACCACACCTATCTTCATTGTGCTGACGCTCTGTGTAGTCAGTTATAACCTGCCAATGTTGATATAGCTATATGTTAACTACTGCTAACACAAAGTTCTACTACATGGCTAAATTCTTATATATATCTCAAATATCTGTATAGGCAAGTCTTGCCTTAGGTTGTTCTTGTCACCTGCTCATGTCTGTTCATGATTTGTTCTTCGTATATATGATGATAATGTCTCACCTGTATATGAATGTCTCACCTTATTGGTCATGTGTTTGATCATGTTTACATTATTAATTATTGATTTTATGTCTGATCATCGTACCTTTTAGTTAATATCTCACTTTATTGGTGGTAGGTCTGATCATGTCTCACTTTTTAGTGAAATTCTCACCTTTTTGTGAATGTCTGATCATCTCTCAACTTTTTAAAATGTCTCACCTTTTTAAATGTCTCACCTTTTTTGAATGTCTCACAAGTTTGTGAATGTCACCTTTTTGTGAACATCTCACCTTTTTGAGAATGTCTCACCATTTAGTTTGTACGTCTGGTCATGTCTCACCTTTCTGTGAATGCCTCACCAGTTTTTTTTAATGTCTCACCTTATTGGTTGTACGTCTGATCATGTCTCACCTTATTGGTTGTACGTCTGATCATGTCTCACCTTATTGGTTGTACGTCTGATCATGTCTCACCTTATTGGTTGTACGTCTGATCATGTCTCACCTTATTATTGTCTCACCTTATTGGTTGTACGTCTGATCACGTCTCACCTTATTGGTTGTACGTCTGATCATGTCTCACCTTATTATTGTCTCACCTTATTGGTTGTACGTCTGATCACGTCTCACCTTATTGGTTGTACGTCTGATCATGTCTCACCTTATTGGTTGTACGTCTGATCATGTCTCACCTTATTGGTTGTACGTCTGATCATGTCCCACGAGAACTTGACGTCCTCTGAGTCCGTGTACCGCCCAGCGACGACAAACCTCAGCCAAAACTTGTACCCGATCCTGGCGCCGGTCATCTTTATCACAGCCGTTTTGTTGATCTGCTTGAGGATCTCGTAGTTGATGTCGTTGTTGTCAGGGCGCTGTAAAGAGTGGACACACGAGCTGGTAACATTCATAACATGTAAATGGTTGTACAAAGTGTTTCTTACAGGCGACTAATCCCCCCCCCCCCCCCCCCCGAACATAATAGAATTTATATAGAAAATACACTTTTTACCAGTGAGTGTGTCATCCCCCCCCCTTCCACAAATAATTAGTTCTCCCCCATCCCCCCCCCCCCCCCACGGAGAAAAAAAGTCTGCCTGAAAGAAACACTGGTTATACAACGGATAAAGTAGAAGTGCCATACAGTAGTTTAATGAACCTTTCAATAGTCGAGTGCTAGGGCAACACATGTGATTCTAAGATGACCTGAACTATCACCGAGGTTACCTTACAACGAAATGGTATGACACCGAACATGACGTCACCCAGTATTTCAAAGCGGTGATCTTCTCCAATCAGTTTTTCCAGCTCTTTTGCTCTTCTCACATCCTTTAGAAATAAAAAAAAATACAACAAAACTTTATAATAATAATCTTTTAAATGCACTAAACTGAAATTATAATTTAAAAACTCTTTATTAAAGCATTAGTCGCTTAAAAAAACTAATTAAGCGATTTTTACGAGCGACTAATAATATTAAAGAAAGCTACTTTTTAAATTTTATTTTCCTTGCATTTAAAACTAAATAAAAGCTTATAAAATTAAATCGCGTAAAAGTAAATGAATACAAAACTGATGTTACATAGCTGACTGTACAATCTACAAGATTTGGGATATTTGAGTCAAAAGCTGAGTCGTCGGGGGACCGGGTGACACCATTTAGGGGGGCGACACCAAGGCAAAAAATATGGCCTATACTTTTTTTCTTTGTGGGGGGGGGGGGGGGGGATGACACCATGAGGTGCCGCACCGGGTGACACCCGACCTAGCAACGCCACTGGTCAAAAGTAAAAGTATACTCTGTGTCTCAACGTCGCCGCTTAGCAGTGGTTTAGTTTGTACATTTTAAAAATAGAAATGATAGGTTAATACTAATGGGTATGCCCCGCAAACTGATACTTTTGCAAACTCATTTCACAAATACTTCTTCTTCTTCGTTCTTAATTGAGAATATAGTGGAGGATTTAGACAAGTCCAACTTCGTGAACAAACCGGACTGTGTTCTTCAGATCAGCAGGTTCCCCATATAATTTTTCCCTGAGTGGGGTGAGCAGGGGCCAGTGTCTATACAAAGAACATTCCTGAAGGACGTTCTCCGTATTTTCCGGGGCCTTGCCACAAGGGCACATTTCGCCACACCCAACCTTTAGTTTTTTATGCATGTGTTGATTTAGTCTGTTATGGCCTGTTCTAAGTCGAAAGATTATGTATTGTTGTTTTCGTGTCAAATTATAATATTCATCATCTATATTGTAGTGAGGGTGTGTGTCAGACCACATTTGTGTTTGTTTGTTTTTTATTATTCTTTTTTATTTCTTTTGGGTGTAGCAAGATTTCCGGTTGTTTTTTCTTTCCTCCAATTTTTGCCAGCTGGTCCGCAATCTCATTACCCTGGATCTGGCAGTGGCCCGGGATCCACTGCAGCACAATTCTGCTGCAGGTATTTTTTAGCCTCTCTAGTGGTCCTAAGCGATTGAGTATAGGACTAGATTTTTTAGGGATTGCAGGACAGATTTGGCATCTGTAAGAAATACTATCTGTACTATTTGGAGATTCAGGGTGTTTTGACAGGAGGTTTGCTGCATGCTCTAAAGCTTCCTTTTCTGCCATAAAATTGTCGGATAGGCTGCCTGTGGCTATTGACTTTTCCAGGCTTTCTCCGCTTGGCCATTCAATAAGGACGCCAGCCCCGCCATTTTTTGTGGCATCTTCAGCTGAGCCATCTGTGAATACTCTAATCCAGGTATTGCCGGGGTACTGATCCTTAATGTGTTTATTTGTTATTTTCTTAAGTTCTTCTAGATCATAGTCAGATTTTTTTTCTATGGTGTCTATTGAGTCACTTTTTTTTTTTTTTTACAGGTAGTCATACAAATTTAATGGCATAGAAAATTTCACATATTATCTCAAAAATGGATCTGGTCGATTCTTTCTCATGACAAATTCAATCTTTCTGCGCATTTCAGAATCATAAATTCTCCGACATCTTTCATAGGTCAGGCGACTTCTTTTAAGAAATGGTTTCTCATATCTTTCTTTTCTTTTGACATCAGAGAAAAAATGTTCCTTTCTCAGAATATTATCCAAAAGTCTGTATGCTGGTTCTATGTCATTATTTTTTACAAGTACAGTTCTTGCTATAAAGCGCAAATGATTTGAGGTCATTTTAAAAATATTTGTCAGGCCTAGTTTAGATGGGGAAGGTTGAAGAAAATGACAGTTATCTTTCCTTTTCATAGACACGAATGGTTAGATGACAGTGGGAAATCCAAGGCGGGGAGATGTTTTGAGTTTTGATTGCTTCAGGAATGGTGTTTTCGATTTTATATTTCTTTTTTAGATTCTTTGCTTCTTTGATGAAACATGTTTTCACAAATACAATTTCGTATTTATTTTAATTCGTAATATACATTTATTTTTGTAAAGCATTGTGTTATGTATAGGCTCACTCATGATATATTAGATTATAACCTCTCTGGGATGTCCATGACACCAACCCAAGGAAAAGGTTGGTGTGAACTACGCGTTACTGTGACACACAGCATATTGTTTTCTTACCTCCCTTATTTTCTGCTGCAGTCCCTTGACGCCATACAGTTTAAATACGACCCAGAGTTTCATGGCTCGAAATCGTCGTGTCATTGGCAGACTCCACGACTAGAATTAGAAAACCGCAAGTTATTTTAATTGCGTGTGGAAGGGGTGAAGGGTTGTGAGACAGTCACAACTAGATTACTTGCTGAGTTGCCGAGAATGAGCAGTCACAATGCCAAAAGAAATACAACAAAAGGCTTGGGTTAACACAACAAGGGAAGAGATAAACAGAAGAGAAAGCAGACAATAATAAAACTACAATAAAAACTTTAACAATTACAAGCTTTTAATTGCGGTAATTACTAATAAAAAGAGATTAAACACACATTTTCTTAAAGCTAAATGTTTTTTCATGAAAGGAATGATGAATTTTATGTCACTCCAATAATATTTATATCTTTATGCATTAATACAATTGGCCAGCACTATTTTTGTTCCCCCCATTAAAGCTTACTATAATTTTAATAATTAATTTAATATCTGAGTAAATAGTGCATTAGATGGGAATGACGGTGCTTTAATAATAGATCGAATTCAAGTTACAAGATTTGACCACAAGCTTACCCGCACGTAAACATTGCAAACTGAACTAAATACCCGAAAATTAAAAGCTTGTTATTATTAAAACTAACGCGAGCACATAGACAATGGTAATTTTTCAAGTGAAAATGTTACATAATAATTTAATAATAGACAAGGTTAAACCATCATATTAAGCATGAGCGTTTGATAATGAATTCGTTTTCTACGACCGAAAATGAGACAATTTACATGCAGGGTCTCACCCTGTAATCAGCCATGATGTTTTTATCGTCTGCTGGTATGTACAGTGGACCCTCAGGATCTTCACAAGCAAACGTCTGCGTCAGATGTGACGTTTTCTTCACCCTAAGACATGATTAAGCTTAGTTTTATTAAAGGGCGCCATCGTATCAGAAGGCAGTGTTTCTTCCTTACTTTTTTTCCTCGGATGGGGGGGGGGGGGGGGGGCGGACTCGGGACACTGGTAAAATTACATATTTTCTCTATAAAATCTATTTCGTTCGGGGGCGGTACACGTGTCCCCCCCCCTCCCCAGAAGAGATGCCTGAAAGAAACTGCCAGAAGGTTGTACATTAGGTTCCATGTAAAAGAATATTTCTTTTTCACTTCCTTATTTTAATACATTGCCAGATTTAGAAGAAAATGTTTTAACTTTTTACTTTCCAGTATACAGAGTATATAGGAAGTATTGTAATTGTGCACACAAATCATATGAAATTTTGACAGTTTTCATCGTTTGACACCTCAGTACTTCATCATATACGGATATATATCTGCAGATGTATAAAAAATCTCAGCGTCCTATGCGTAATCGAGTCGGAAAAACTGGGCTTTGCAATTCTGTCCGTATATCTGTGTGTATGTGTGTCTATAAACACGATAACTTGAGTACCGATAGAGCTAGGTTGATGAAAATTCATAAACAAGTATTATACCAAATTTGTAGTTCTGCATCAACTTTTCAGCGATTTCCGGTAACCGGAAGTGGAACTTATTCTACATTTGGTTTTTCAAAAGCCTATAACTTGACTACTATTTCAGATAGATAAACAAAATGTAACAATTAAGTAAAAGATCTAATTCTCTGCCTTTTGTCGGATTCTGAGTAACTTCCGTTAACCGGAAGTAATAATTTACGCTATTTCCGATTTCTCAAAAAATGAATGTGAATTTATAAAGTACTAATAGTATTCCGCACTATTATACACGGATTGTTTGGCGTTTACTTGGTGCCCAATTCTTTTTTTCTACGAGATTTTATTCTATTTTAAAAAGTTTAAGTAATTAAAATCCATGTCTATATCCCGAGGTACAATCCCCCGTAGTGTTATATAACAATATTCGAGAAACTTTAGGGGAGATCACTCCCGGTTTATTTCTGTTGTTGTCTTGTGCGTGACTAGCTATACATGAACATTATCAATGAAGTGACCACACCAAAGTGACAGAAAGCCTGATACAATAACATTCATAGTGATTAAAGGAAGGCAACATGGCCGCTACCTACCAGAGACATGCGCAGTCCATGTGTACCGGCATCCATTTGTGAGCGGACATGGAGAACGAGTCGGCGTACTGAGGAGGATATGATGGGAGAACATTCGTTAAAATTTATGTTGCTGGGAGGGGAGGACGGTGTTTCATCCAGGCATCTCTTCTGGGGGGCTTAACCCCCCCCCCCCGAAGATAGTCTACCGCCCCACCCCCAACGAAAACCAAATTTATATAGAAAACATACTTTTAAGTGTCCGCCCTACCCCTCCCCCCCCCCCCCGAAATATATTCAAGTGCCCACCTTCCCGGAGAAAAAAGTCTGGAAGAAACACTGGGTGAGGAAGGGGTGGGGAGGGTGTATGGCCTCACACCCGTGGCGTTAACAACCTAAGGGGTCGAGAAAGAAAAAAAAGCGTCTGAAACTGTTTGAAGTCTTTTTTTTTCTTTCTTAGTTGACAATTTTTTTTAAAGAAAATATCCTGCTTTAAAAAAATAAAAATATTTGGACTTAAAATTAATTAAGGAAACCCCATTAACTATAGTACTACTGAACATCATTTTGTAGGCTAGAACTACAATAAGCAAGTTCGAAATTAAACTCCACCACATTTTTCAAAAGATCTTCCAGGTACTGAAATTAATAGTGAAACACCAGCCTGATTGTGTCATTCGTTTAAAGAACACCTCAGTGCGCTGTTGCCACAGCTAGCGACCGTCCATTGGTCACCCGTTTTTAGATCAAACAACTTACATCTATGGCGTGTAGCAGGGGACTGGTACTCAGGTTATTGACCACTGGTCACGTGGGGCACACCATTTTAAAATTAAGCAACTTACATCTATACCGTGCAGCAAGGGCTGGTACTCTCGACAAATGAAGGAACTTCCGGCATACCCCGACTCGATGTGGAACCAAATCTTTGGAGACTCCGCGTCCACTAGAGGGGAATATGAACACATTGTCAGCATGAAGTAACCATTGGACCTTGGGGTCATCCATATATGACGTCACGATTATTGGACGATTTTTACCCCCTCCCCTCCGTCACACATAGTCACAAAAAGCCAGCCCTCCCCCTAAAATGACGTCACACCTCAGCCTACAACCCCCCCCCCCCTCATCACACACCATCACAAAATCATGGACCCAGCTCCCCCCACGAATGTGACGTCATTTATGGACGACCCCCTTATCAACATAAAGTAACCATTGGACATTGTCAACATAAAGTAACTCTTGGATATTGTCAGTGTAAAGTAACCATTGAACATCGTCATCATAAAGTAACCATTGGACATTGTAAACATAAAGTAACTCTTGGATATTGTCAGTGTAAAGTAACCATTGAACATCGTCATCATAAAGTAACCATTGGACATTGTAAACATAAAGTAACTTTTGGATATTGTCAGCGTAAAGTAACCATTGAACCGTGTCAACATAAAGTAACCCTTGGATGTTGTCAACATAAAGTAACCCTTGGATATTGACAGCGTAAAGTAACCATTGGACCTTGTTAATATAAAGTAACCATTGGATATTGTCAACATAAAGTAACCCTTGGATATTGTCAACATAAAGTAACCATTGGACCTTGTTAATATAAAGAAACCCTTGGATGTTGTCAACATAAAGTAACCATTGGACCTTGTTAATATAAAGAAACCCTTGGATGTTGTCAACATAAAGTAACCATTGGATATTGTCAGCGTAATGTAACCATTGGACCTTGTTAATATAAAGTAACCATTGGATATTGTCAACATAAAGTAACTATTAAAAATTGTCAACATAAAGTAACTATTAAAAATTGTCAACATAAAGTAACTATTGAACATTGTCCGCATAAAGTAATAACTGGGGTAGATTCTACTCATGTTAACTAGAGCTATAGTTATCTACTAATTATTAAATGTCGCAGTATGCCAGAAAAAAATGACACTAATTCAATATCTAAATAGCCTAACATTTATAATAATTTATGTTCATAAAACACTAATAGTATCAAGCTACTTAAGTCCTTGACTAAACTATCCCAACAGCTAGAAGCTAGCAATGTCTTACGTATTGGCCCAATTTTTCCGATTTGATCAACAGAAGTACAGGCAATGGTCCCTACAGTGGCTATAACCTGTAGGGATAGAAAACAAAGTTTAGGCCTAAACAACTTATTTTTCGTTATTTTTCTCATTACGCGTTTCATTGTTTGCTTATTTAAATCTGCCCATTATTTTCTGCATTATATCCACATTATGTAAGCCTTTGTTATTTGTTATTTTTTTTTTTAAACTGTTAGTAGTGTTAAGCATCAGATGATAGGGGTCATCAATAAATGGCGTCACGCTTTATTTGACGATTTTTACCCCCCCCCCCTCCCCTCCGTCACACATCGTCACAAAAAGCCAGACCCCCCCCCTAAAATGACTTCACACCTTAGCCTACAAACCCTCTCAAAATCGCAGTTGAATTTTTCTTAAAACATCGATATTTTTCAAAAATCTTGTCTGAACTCTGTATTTTAATCAATTCCTATTGCACTTTATTAAAAGTTGTCTAAAACGCGAAATAACGTCTAAAATTCGTTTTCTAACATTGCTTTTTTATAATGCAAAAGTGTGACGTCGCATCATCTGCCCCCCCCCCCCCTCCCCCTCGTCACACACTCACAAAATTACGGACCCCCCTCCCCCTGTGAGTGTGACGTCATTTATGAACGACCCCATAAGTAAATCTAAATATTATTGTAACCAAATATTAATAATATAAAATTTATTAATAATGATTCGATCTATATATCAATATTTTTACTTAAAAGTTACACTTAAACTATTATTAGTAGGCCAATCGGTGTAGTATAGTTTAAAATAGAAATATAAAAAAAAACTTTTAATAAGGGAAATAACTAGGATTCCCTACCAGAAAAGGGTGATATCCCTTGCCCTTATCTTTCTCCACAGCGAACCTCAAAGTGTCGCCGTGCATAATACCCTGTCTGTCAGTCCAAAGGCGCTTGAGGTTGACTCCAGCTATTTCACACACTCGCTCCATGCTAGGGTGTGCCTAGAGATCAAACGTCTTGTTAGTATTTTCATTATTAGTATTATTATTAATACCCATGGACGTAAAGGTCATTTAAGTGTCAACAACCATCAACCTTCACAATGTCTGGACTTTCCGAACTACTCCAATTTCAACCTCGACCTACAAGCTCAGAACAGTAGACCATGAACTTTTCCGACTACTCATGTTTCGACATTGACCTACCTTCTCAAAGCAGTAAACCATGAGCTTTGCTGGCCACACCGATTTCGACCTTGACCTACCTGCTCAGAGCAGTAGACCATGAACTTCTGCAAGAGCTCCGCCTCTGTCTGTTCCGGGAAGCTGAGCTTCAGCCTCTCCAACATGACCCTCTTGGCAGCCACAGTCACCGTGAGAAGGGCATCCGTCGTGGTGTTCTGTGTACAAGGCAAAATTTGTGTACGTATTTCTTTAATGGGCGTAGCTAGAGGCAGAGGCGTAGCAGGGGGGGGGGGCGGGGGGTGCGGACCGCACCGGGTGACACCATTTAGGGGGTGACACCATTTAGGGGGGTGACACCGTTTAGGGGAGTGACACCAAGGCAAAAAATAGCAAAATATACAGAGAAAAATTTGAGGGGGGTGCAAATCGAAAGTTTGAGGAGGGGGGGGGGGTGCAAATCGAAAATTTGTCCCTGGGAAGGGTCGCTACGCCTCTGGGGGGGGGGGGGGTGGTGACACCATTAAGTGCCGCACCGGGTGATACCCGACCTCGCTACGCCACTGGCTAAAGGGGGTGCTTTGGGGCGTTTACTCCCCATACTATTCTTTTTTAACAGATCATTATGTATAAGCATAAAAACAGCACCGAAGCGTTCTACTAATCCTTTTTTACTTTCTCGTATATACGAAGTATAGAGAAAGTCTTGTAATCGTGCAAAAAAAAAATCGAGATTTTTACAAATCTCGACGTTTTACACCTCACTGATACGGAAAAACATAATTTTGCAATCTTGTCCGTATGTCTGTGTGTCTGTCTGTGTGTCTGTCTGTCTGTCCGTGTGTAAACACGATAACTTGAGTACCGTTACAGCAAGGTTGATGAAATTTCATATATAAGTATTTTATCAAAATCGTAGATCCGTATCAACTTTTGAGCGATTTCCGATAACCGGAAGTGGTACTTTTCCTACTTTGAATTTTTCAAAAGCCTATAACTTGAGTACTATTTCAGATAGATAAATGAAATTTCACATGTAAGTAAAAGATCTAATTCTCTACCTTTTGTTAAATTTTGAGTAATTTCCGTTGACTGAAAGTAGTAATTTACGCTACTTCCGATTTCTCAAAAAACTAATGTAAATTTTAAAAGTACTAATAATATTGCGCACTATTATGCGCTTTTTTATTTGGCGTTCACTTGGTGTGCAATTAATTTGTCTACTAGATTTTATTCTATTTTTAAAACTTTAAGTATTTAAAATGGATTAAAAATAATGTCTATAGCCCGAGTTCCCATCCCCTGTTATTTTATATAAGAATATTCGAGAAAGTTTAGGGGAGATCACTCCCGGTTTATTTTAAATAAATAATTGGACACATTTTTATTAGTCATTTAAAGATAATAATTTGATAAACATGCTTTATTAAACGTATAGACAAAGATTTTAGTTTAGTAAATTCGGTTAATATTGGCTAAGGTTTAGAACAAGAAGCAGGCCCCCCTCCCCCTCACCTGAATAATTCCTCCACCACCGGACGCCGAACCTTTGCCGAAGAAATGAAAGTCTTTGGGCAGATCCATGAGGTGGGCCAGCCAGTTCATGATAACCATCTCAAGCTCTGTGGCCGCTGGGCAGTCTGCCTATAGTCAGGACACATTTCATACTTAATGTATAGGTGGGTGTAGGGCCAGGACACATTTCATACTTAATGTATAGGTGGGTGTAGGGCTAGTCTGCCTATAGACAGAACACATTTCATACTTAATGTATAGGTGGGTGTAGGGCCAGTCTGCCTATAGACAGGACACATTTCATACTTAATGTATAGGCGGGTGTAGGGCTAGTCTGTCTATAGCCAGGACACATTTCATACTTAATGTATAGGTGGGTGTAGGGCTAGTTTGCCTAGAAGCTTGGAGACATTTCACCAATAAGATATAGATCTAGTTAGGTGTATGCCCAGTCTGCTTACAAGCCATGAAGCCTAAATGTAAATTAACATGATGCAAAAGAATATGACAGTTCTATTTCTGTTTGGGGATTGACTTTCCCACCTGTCCATTGAATGAGAATGTACCTCCGTGCTCAGGGACTCTGGATTTAAATACCCGTGTGTCCATAGACTGACTAATCAGTGTGTCCTACGGACTGAAGATGTACACACTAGCCCAGGTATTGACCTACCCGTGTGTCCCAGGGACTGACCCGCGTGACCCAGGGACTGACCCGCGTGTCCCAGGGACTGACCCGTGTGTCCCAGGGACTGACCCGCGTGTCCCAGGGACTGACCCGTGTGTCCCAGGGACTGACTTACCCATGTGTCCAAGGGACTGTAGATGTACACACTCGCCCAGAGACTGACCTACCCATGTGTCCCATGGACTAACTTAGTCCCACGGACTGACTCACCCACGTAAAGCCGACACACCCTAGACCGTCACACAGCATACTGCCCAGTAGACTGGCGTAGGATCCCCCGGCTGGCAGCAGAGAGTGGTGTTTGGGACTTTGCCATTGAGGGATCTGCACGGGATGGACAAATGTATTACTTAACTCGAGCTGTCGGGCTAATGTTCATGTACAGCTAGACAGGCACTAGACAAATATTGGTTGCAGTGGGGGGGGGGGGGGGGGGGGGGGGGCACACACGACACTTGAAAATTTCACGGTGGATGGACTAAATTTTCCGGAGCACTAGTAAAAGTATTTATTTTCTATATAAGTTCTATATTTCGTTCGGGTGGTGGGGGGGGGGGGGGGTAGACGAGCTTGAGCAGTGCCCTTCCCCCTCCCCCACTCCGAAAAGATATATGAAAGAAGCACTGATTGGAGGTTTTGTTTATATGATTATATTTTTGGTTGTTAATGAGTAATAAAAACTAGAAGCATAGGTTTTAAAGAGATACAAAATGTTGTAAAACTAGAAGCATAGGTTTTTAAGATATACAAAATGTTGCAAAACTAGAAGCATAGGTTTTAAAGAGATACAAAATGTTGTAAAACTAGAAGCATAGGTTTTTAAGATATACAAAATGTTGCAAAACTAGAAGCATAGGTTTTAAAGAGATACAAAATGTTGTAAAACTAGAAGCATAGGTTTTTAAGATATACAAAATGTTGTAAAACAGCATCAATGTATCTTACAATGAGCGTAAGATCTGTATCATTTAATAACACGTGGCCAAAATTGCGTGCATCCAATTAAGGATAGTCACGTGTGTTAAGTTTTAATTAACCTGTATAGAAAAGTAAAAAAAAAAATACCTACCCCTGGAAAAATAAGTTCCCTGATGTCTTTGTAGACATCGTCCATGTTGACGGCTTCTTTTGGGGGAATTTTTGGCATTTTCTTGAACAGAAATCCCTGGATGGCCGAGTGGTTCACCTGATGAAATTGTGTAAAGGTTGAGAGTACTTGCAAGATTTCTAATCAACATTATATCAACTACCCTCTAGCTGGGTAAAGGACTTACCACCTAGGTGGTCTACCATATTCCAACCACTGGTTATTCACCTACCCAGATACCACACTACTTGTGTGAAGTAACAATCTACTGGCTTCTGCTACATGAGTACAATAGCCACAGTATGAGTAGCCCATGAGTAACCAAATAGCCACACTATGGGGAGCTTTAACCAGAGTAGCAAAATAGCCACATCATTGATAGCTATAACCAGATTAATGTTTCCAGAGTTTCTTTCAAACATTCTGCTTGGGAGGTGGGGGTGTCATTCGAAACTTCTAGGAGGAGCAAGGGAGTGAATTTTTAAAATGTTTTTAAAAAAATTTAATATTAATATTTTTTTTACTTCTTGCGCAGGGGGTGTGGTGGGCAGGGTACGTGCCCTAATTACTGTACTTAATTAGTTCTCTAAGATAATTTTTATTTTTATTTAGTTTAAGCATCATATTATCTTATTAAACCTGTCCCCTGCATCAGGCTTAGCATTCGGCAAATGGGATTCAAATTAAATAAGCTTTCTAAAGTAAAGTTCCCTTTTCAAGTCTGAAGGGCAAGTGAAGTAGAGTTCACCTGTTTCTGTGACCTCGACATATAAAGAGATAGTGTGGTCAGCACTACGCCCAGCCGCCTTTACTTTTCCAAACGTGAGTTAGGTACCCATCTACTAGCTTGAACCCGGATTCGAACTCCAGACTTACGGGTTAGCAGTCCAGCTCTCTACCACTCAGTCCCCTAAATAAACTTTCTGCCAATATTAAAACCTGCCTACAGTTACTGCCCATTCCACTACGTCACTCACCGGCCTGTCCCTTGAACCTTCCAAATAATCAGCGATAAAATCGACCAACTCCTTCCCGCGCTTTCTGAACTCAGCAGGCGAGAGATCAGCAGACGGAAGAGCAGACGACGGCCCCGCGTGTTTTTTCTTTTTCTTCTTTTTCTTTTCTTTCCCGGCCGACTGAAAATATTGTGCGGCCTGCACAATTGATAAAATCCACAGTTAACAATGAACTAGAGTAAGTAATACTACTGTAATACCTCAAATAAAACGCAATCAGAGTTTCTTCCAGGCATCCCCCCCCCCGTAGAAAGTCTACCCGCCCCCCCCCCCCCCCCCCAACGAAATTAAATTTATATAGAAATTATATACTTTTAACAGTGTTTCGCCCCCCCCCCCCCCCCCCCAAAGAAAGTCTACCCCCCCCCCCCCGAAAATTTCAAGTGCCCCCCCCTCCCGGAGAAAAAAGTCTGGAAGAAAGATTATATCATTTGATACAACACGCATGTGTAATTGTAATTTTAAAAGTGAAGTATTAGACTAAAGGCGAACTTTGAGATGAGATATGACAAAAGTTTCTGTACAAATTTGTGGCTCTCCGTAAGTAGTTAGGTTTATTAGCTCAAAGACCGAATTTCTTGTGTTTGATACCTCATAATAAACGTTGCTAAATACTTTTAGCCCCCCTCCTCACCCCACTAAATTACCTCTGGTAGACCCTTCTCCTCACCGAAATACATTTGCTAGACCACCTCCACTGAATCAACTTTAGTACCCCCCTCACTAAATAATCCGTGGAAGCCACCCACCCCCTCTACTCACTAAAATACATTTGCGAGCTTCCCCCCCCCCCTCCATCTAAATAAATTAACTTTCCTAACCCCACCCCCTTTCCCCCACCAAACGGATTTACCGTTGCTCCTCCGCCTCAATTAATTAACTCTCCAAGCCCCCACCCCTCCCCTACCGTCCCAACTGATTTACCTTTGCTGCCCCCCCACCCCCCCCCCCCCCCAAACTGACTGACCTCTGCCCCTCTCCAGGTGTTACGACTGACCTGTGCGAGTCCAACTTTGGAGCGACTCATGAGGTCCTCATCGTCCCCGTCAGACGACTCGCTGCTCTCGTTCTCGTCGGAGAAAAAGTCCTCGATGGTGGCCCGCCCCTCCTCGGTCTCGTTCTCCACCGACCGTATGGTCCCACGATGGTCGTTATTCTACAAAATAAACGTACGATGGTCGTTATTCTACAAAATAAACGTACGATGGTCGTTATTCTACAAAATAAACGTACGATGGTCGTTATTCTAAAAAATAAACGTACGATGGTCGTTATTCTACAAAATAAACGTACGATGGTTGTTATTCTACACAATAAACGTACGATGGTCGTTATTCTAAAAAATAAACGTACGGCCCAAAGATGGTAGTTATTCTACACAATAAACGTACGATGGTCGTTATTCTAAAAAATAAACGTACGGTCCAACGATGGTTGTTATTCTACACAATAAACGTACGATGGTCGTTATTCTAAAAAATAAACGTACGGTCCAACGATGGTTGTTATTCTACACAATAAACGTACGATGGTCGTTATTCTAAAAAATAAACGTACGGTCCAACGATGGTAGTTATTCTACACAATAAACGTACTATGGTCGTTATTCTAAAAAATAAACGTACGGTCCAACGATGGTAGTTATTCTACAAAATAAACGTACGATGGTCGTTATTCTACAAAATAAACGTACGATGGTCGTTATTCTACAAAATAAACGTACGATGGTTGTTATTCTACACAATAAACGTACGATGGTCGTTATTCTACAAAATAAACGTACGATGGTCGTTATTCTACAAAATAAACGTACGATGGTCGTTATTCTACAAAATAAACGTACGATGGTCGTTATTCTACAAAACAAACGTACGATGGTCGTTATTCTACAAAATAAACGTACGATGGTCGTTATTCTACAAAAGAAACGTACGAGGTCTTTATTCTACAAAATAAACGTACGATGGTCGTTATTCTACAAAATAAACGTACGGTCCAACGATGGTAGTTATTCTACACAATAAACGTACTATGGTCGTTATTCTAAAAAATAAACGTACGGTCCAACGATGGTAGTTATTCTACAAAATAAACGTACGATGGTCGTTATTCTACAAAATAAACGTACGATGGTCGTTATTCTACAAAATAAACGTACGATGGTTGTTATTCTACACAATAAACGTACGATGGTCGTAACGCACGATGGTCGTTATTCTACAAAATAAACGTACGATGGTCGTTATTCTACAAAATAAACGTACGATGGTCGTTATTCTACAAAACAAAACGTACGATGGTCGTTATTCTACAAAATAAACGTACGATGGTCGTTATTCTACAAAAGAAACGTACGAGGTCTTTATTCTACAAAATAAACGTACGATGGTCGTTATTCTACAAAATAAGACGATACGATGGTCGTTATTCTACAAAATAAACGTACGATGGTCGTTATTCTACAAAATAAACGTACGATGGTAGTTATTCTACAAAAAAAACGTACGATGGTCGTTATTCTACAAAATAAACGTACGATGGTAGTTATTCTACAAAATAAACGTACGATGGTCGTTATTCTACAAAATAAACGTACCGATGGTCGGTATCTTATTCTACAAAATAAACGTACGATGGTCGTTATTCTACAAAATAAACGTACGATGGTCGTTATTCTACAAAAAAACGTACGATGGTCGTTATTCTACAAAATAAACGTACGATGGTCGTTATTCTACAAAATAAACGTACGATGGTCGTTATTCTACAAAATAAACGTACGATGGTCGTTATTCTACAAAATAAACGTACGATGGTCGTTATTCTACAAAATAAACGTACGATGGTCGTTATTCTACAAAATAAACGTACGATGGTCGTTATTCTACAAAATAAACGTACGATGGTCGTTATTCTAAAAAATAAACGTACGATGGTCGTTTATTCTACAAAATAAACGTACGGTCCACGATGGTCGTTATTCTACAAAATAAACGTACGAGGTCGTTATTCTACAAAATAAACGTACGATGGTCGTTATTCTACACAGTGGCGTAGCGAGGGTCGGGTGTCACCCGTTGCGGCACTTAATGGTTTCACCCCCCCCCCCCCCAGAGGCGTAGCGACTCTTCCTGGTGACAAACTTGTTTGCACTCCCCCCTCCCCCCTTAAACGTTCGATTTGCACCCCTCCTCCCCTCAAACTTTCCATTTGCACCCCCCCCCCCCCCCCCCCCTCAAATTTTTCTCTCTATATTTTTTTTGCCTTGGTGTCACCCCCTAAATGGTGTCACCCGGTGCGGTCCGCACCCCCCCTTCCTCGCTACGCCTCTGATTCTACAAATTAAACGTACGATGGTCGTTATTCTACAAATAAACGTACGATGGTCGTTATTCTACAAAACAAACGTACGATGGTCGTTATTCTACAAAAGAAACGTACGATGGTAGTTATTCTACAAAATAAACGTACGATGGTCGTTATTCTAAAAAATATACGTACGATGGTCGTTATTAAAATAAACGTATGATGGTCGTTATTCTATAAAATAAACGTACGATGGTCGTTATTCTACAAAATAAACGTACGATGGTCGTTATTCTCCAAAATAAACGTTACGATGGTCGTTATTCTACAAAATAAACGTACGATGGTCGTTAATCTACAAAATAAACGTACGTTGGTCGTTATTCTACAAAATAAACGTACGATGGTCGTTATTCTACAAAATAAACGCACGATGGTCGTTTTCTACAAAATAAACGTACGATGGTCGTTATTCTACAAAATAAACGTACTGTCCCAACGTGATTGGTAACCTATAGAATAAACCATCCAGCCTGTCTTGTTTCGATGTAAAAACTTGAATTTTCAATAATTTAAAAATACTGTAGTCTCATCCAATAATTAAGGACAAAGAACAGAACAACTAGAAATACTACATGACGGTTGGGGGTTAGTCCATAAATGACGCCACACTTCTAAGGAGAGGGGTCGAAGTTTTGTTACTTTGTGTAATAATAAGAGAAGGGAGGGGAGGGTGGGTAGGAAATCGGCAAAAAAGCGTGGCGTCATATGAATGACCCCCTATACAATATGTAATGTAGTTTTTGAGAGAGAGAGAGAGAGAGAGAGAGAGGTAAGAGAAATTTTCTACATTCTACGACCCTGAGAGTTAGGTGTATAAATAGAGACATAGTCCTAAAACAGCATAAAGAATCTCACAAACACGTATGTATAATCTCAAGTGCAAATGGACAGGAACATCTTTGCTACCAAAATCCACTGACTGACAGTACCCCAGGCTCACCTGTTGAATCTTTAACTCCATTGGTGCGATGTATAGTGTGTAGCAAAATCTAAACTTGTTCAATCGTGGCTGCAACTAGTCACTTGATACATTCCACACCTTAAATAAATAGACATTACACGTTCTTTAGGCCAGACTTTAAAAAAGATATCACACTATCTTGAGGCCAGACTTTAAAAAAGATATCACACTTTCTTCAGGCCGGACTTTAAAATAAATAGATATCACACTATCTTGAGGCCAGATTTAAAATAAATAGATATCACACTATCTTGAGGCCAGATTTAAAATAAATGGATATCACACTTTCTTGAGGCCAGATTTAAAATAAATAGATATCACACTTTCTTGATGCCAGATTTAAAATAAATAGATATCACACTATCTTGAGGCCAGATTTAAAATAAATAGATATCACACTATCTTGAGGCCAGATTTAAAATAAATAGATATCACACTATCTTGAGGCCAGATTTAAAATAAATAGATATCACACTATCTTGAGGCCAGATTTAAAATAAATAGATATAACACTATCTTGAGGCCAGATTTAAAATAAATAGATATCACATTATCTTGAGGCCAGATTTAAAATAAATAGATATCACACTATCTTGAGGCCAGATTTAAAATAAATAGATATCACACTATCTTGAGGCCAGATTTAAAATAAATAGATATCACACTATCTTGAGGCCAGATTTAAAATAAATAGATATCACACTATCTTGAGGCCAGATTTAAAATAAATAGATATCACACTATCTTGAGGCCAGATTTAAAATAAATAGATATCACACTATCTTGAGGCCAGATTTAAAATAAATAGATATCACACTATCTTGAGGCCAGATTTAAAATAAATAGATATCACACTATCTTGAGGCCAGATTTAAAATAAATAGATATCACACTATCTTGAGGCCAGATTTAAAATAAATAGATATCACACTATCTTGAGGCCAGATTTAAAATAAATAGATATCACACTATCTTGAGGCCAGATTTAAAATAAATAGATATCACACTATCTTGAGGCCAAATTTAAAATAAATAGATATCACACTATCTTGAGGCCAGACTCAGATATCTGTTTCTTAATGCCAGACCTAAAAAAATCGATAACACTTTCTTCAGACAAAAAAAAACACACCTATATCACACTTTCTTTAGACCAGACCTAAAATAAAACGATATCACTCTTTCTTCATGCTAGACAATAACGAAAATGTAAATGTCACACTTTTTAAAGGCCAGATATAATAAAAACCGCTATCACACTTTCTTAAGGCCAGACCTCATTAAAAAAAAACCTAAAAGAAGCGATATCACTCTTTCCTGAGGTTAATAAAATCTTTAAAAAATATTAATTTCAAATTGTATAGTTGTTTGCCTCTCTAACAAACAATGGTAAAAAAACAGGGGTGTAATGATTTTATATTTGACATCTATTTAAATATATTAGTCGAATATGTTTAAATCACTAGATCTAACAATTTTGTTTTGTCTAACATTAATCTAGAAAATAGAATAATGCTTAAAGCTAAATCTAAAGCAGTGGTTCTTAACCTTTTTGGAGGTACCAAAAAGCACCAGTTACATATGTAGTGTTTCTTACAGACTTTTTTTCTCCAGGGGGGGGGGGGCACTTGAAATTTTCGGAGGGGGCGGACACTGTTAAAAGTATATATTTTCTATATAAATTATATAAATTTCATTTCGTTCGGGGGGGGGGGGGGAGATACCTGGAAGAAACTCTGTTCATATGCGTATTCACTGAACACTTATATAATCCATAATGACAAAATCCGATTCTGAATCATAGGAGTCGGGGGGGGGGGGGGGGGGGAGGCATCGAGACATCCGCCGATCCACTGAGAATGTCTCACCAAACCCCTTGGGTTCTATGGAACCCAGGTTAAGAAGCACTGATCTAAAGTTTTATTTGTACTTTATTTGTAACAAACTTGCCGATATGTGTTTATGAGAAACCTTTCTGAATCTACATCCGGTCTCTTGTTTATTGTTTATTCATGCCAGCATGTGCCTAAACACTGTTGTGGGAATTCCCGATTTCATGCGATTTTTTTCAAGTTTTGAAATAAAACAAAATGCTGGTGAGTTGTCTATAAACGCTATTAGTCAAGAGAAAAGTGTGTGTTTGTGTGTGTGGGTTTTGGAAAGGCGGTTAAGGGGGTATTATATTTCTTTTGGCATTGAATTTCTGAATTTCATCCACAAAGAAAGAATGTTCACTTTTCTCGGGGGGGGGGGGGGGGGGGAGGGAAGAAAGGGAAGGGGTAGGGTGGGGACGGGGAGTGGAGAGGAGAGGAGGGGAAGGGGATGGTACGGGGCGCTTGAAACTTCTGAGGAAGGGTGTACTTGTGGGGGAGGGGGTGCTGGATTTTGGTTAAAGTATATATTTATATATACATTATTTTATTTTACTATTTCATCTGAGAGAGCCATGCGTGCTCAGCCTCCCCCCCCCCTTCCAACCCCGGAGAGATGCATGAAAGTAACTGCTGTAAAGAAATATGACTCAGCATAATGTATTGTAAGGGACAACCTCGCCCAGCGGTAGAGCACTAGACTGCTAACCCGAGAATCTCGAGTTGAATGCGGGTTCAAGCCAGCAGAATTTCCCTGAGTCCACTCAACTCTGATGGGTACCTAACTTAAGTTAGGAACACTAAAGGCGGCTGGGCATAGTGCTGACCACACTATCCCTTCTTTGGCCGAGGTTACTGAAACATGAACTCGTCTCCATGTGCCTTGGGCAACAACGGGGAAAAATGATGATGATGTATTGTATTTTTTTAAAAGCAAACATTTCAAAGGGTGCACGAATTTCACTCTATGCTGTATGTCTGTATGCTGTATGAAAATGGACATATAAGTCTACATACCTTTTTTTTTTACAACACGTCAAAAAAAAAAAAAAAAAAAAAAAAACCACAACGATGTTTAGCAGATTAAAGCAGATTTAATAAAACAAGAAATTTCCCCCCACATTTTAAGATAAAAAGTGCTGGATTATATATATATATATGTATGTAATGAGACCAAATAAGCTTAGGAGTTCCCTGAGGTCTAAACAACGACCAAATGTGAACATTCAGCATAAAGATAAACAATATTAAAATACATAAACATTTGTGATATAAAATATACTTAATATAAGTATAAATTATGAGAAAAAACATTTGACAAAATTGTATAAGAAAGCAGTTTATAAGAAGCATAAATGTGTAAGATAAAAATGTATAATAAACTTTATTGTAAACAATTTACATGAAATATTTATACATAAGATAATAAGTTATTAGACGCATAAATATATAAGACAGTATTTTGGGAGATAACATTTAGTATAAGGAAAACAACATCATTACCGGAACTGAAAACTTCAAATGTTTGAAAAATTCAAGAAGTCAAAATTGACAAGCCATTATAAAACCTGCTAAAACCCATATCACAGCAAGTGGACTTGATGTATGAAGAAAGAAGATTTTACAAACAATATCTTACAATACAAAATAGATGGATTATGAGTTGGGTAAAATAGAGAGAGGCTAGAACTGTATGGAGAATTCTTTGACGAAAACCTACTGCTAGCTTAGGGGGAGACTTTAATAGCTATGGCCAAGTAGGACGACAGACTTTTATAGCTATGGCCTAGTAAGACGACAGACTTCTGCTACTAGGTATAATAGGATGACAGGCTATTAGCTACTACTATGGTGTAGTTGAACGACAGACTTTTGAAGCTGTGGCCTAGAAGGACGACAGATTTCTGAATCTGTGGTCTATTAGGACGATAGACTTCTACAGCTATGGCCTAGTAGGACGACAGACTTCAACTTCTAGCGTAGTTGAACGACAGACTAATGACTACTACTAAATCTAGTCATACTTAAACTTACACAAACTTTCCTAATGTAAAACTAAACGACTCTACTTCAACTACCGTGACTTGGATTTCAGGTTAGCTTTAATATGAACATGCAGAGGTCACAGAAACAGGTGAACTCTACTTCACTTGCCCCATGGACCGTCAACTTCGAAAAGAGAACTTTACTACAATATGACCATGGTTAGGATCTCACGTGAAAGAAGTACAACAAACATCTCACCAATCAAACTCTGTTTCAAATACCATCTTAAGATACATTTACTTGGTCAAATTAACATTGTTATCTCTACTTATCTGTTGAATATACATCTACATCTGTAGGACCAGACGTATATGTTCTTATCACATACGTTTTAATTTGGCAGATAAAATATTCATGTAAAAAGGATTTACTGTTATTTTTTTAAAATCACAACGTCCTTAAGTTTTCTAATGGAGTGATTGCATATTTTTATATATAGATAACATGTTTGTGTTTAAAATAAAATGTGTTGCCTACGTGATTTAATAGTCAAAAGATGAAAAAATCAATAAATACGACAACACAAATTGTCGGTTCGAAGATCGAACGTTCAGTCAAGCAAAGTAATTCAAAGATCAAACAATCATACACATACCAAATGTTAAGAAGGAATAACAACCAGTCGAACAATCCTGTTTCAGAGTACGTACGCGTAATTGAAAAACCCTCAGGATCAAGTTATTTTGTTTCAAATTACGAACATCTAATCGAAAACCCTCCAGAATCTGGTTATCCTGCTTCGGAGTACGTACACTTAGTTGAGCAACCTTCTAGGATCAGATTATCCTGCTTCGGAGTACGAACACTTAGTCGAACAATCAACAGGATCAGGTTATCCTGCTTCGGAGTTCGAACAACACTCCAGGATCATGTTATCCTGCTTCAGAGTACGAACACCTAGTCAAACAAGCCTCCAGGTTCCGGTCTATCCACCAGTGACCTATCCGACTCCAGATCCCTCTGAGAACGAACAAACTTGTACCCAAGTTTCGAATACAAGTGCCCACAGTTTCTATCCGTGACCTTAACGCTGGCAAACCCCGCCCCGTAGCGCCAACGGTTCATGGCCAGGGTCGAGTTATTCTTCACAATGCTGTAAGCCTTTTGTGTCTGTTTAACATCCGCTGTGGAGTTTGTGATGTTGCGTATGTAATCCAAGACCGCCTCGTTCAGATCGAGGCCCAGGAACTCGTAGATTCTCCGGGTGTAGTTGTAAGGGTCCATGGCGCCTTCCTCGTACCGAATGGCCTTGACCCGACCTGGGTACAGCGCTGACAGACGTTCTGCTTGGCTCAGGTCTTCCTCCAGGACCTTGCAGTGTCCAGTAGAGACGTTGTGGACCTCAGTTTTCCAGTCAAAGTCCCGGAACACTTGAGACTGGGAGTACAGGGTCGCCCGCGGGTCTCTGGAATAGAAATACATAAATAGATGGTACATAAATAGATGGAACATAAATAGATGGAACATAAATAAATAAATAGATGGAATATAAATTCATAAATAGATGGTACATAAATAAATAAATAGATGGAATATAAATTCATAAATAGATGGAACTTAAATAGATGGAGCATAAATAGATGGAACATAAATAAATGGAACATACATAAATAAATAGATGTAACATAAATCAATAAATAGATGGAACACAAATAAATAAATTGATGGAATACAAATAGATACATAGATGGAACATAAATAAATGCACAAGTGGAACACAAATAAAGCAGGAATGAGCTCCCCTAAACTTTCTTGTGTAGTATTATTTAACATCCAGTGTTATGATGACAATGCCAGTGAAATCGGGATATAGAAATACATATTTTTTTGGCAAATCAGCTCGTTTTGTTTTAGAATAACTCAAAGAGTCGAAAAGTTCTTAGAAAGTTTTTTAAGGAAAATATGCGATAACATTATCGAATTCTAACGGTTTTTGAGAAATAGGATATGCTTTAAAATTTCCATTCAGGATCTGAATTCTTCAAAATGTTGATGATAGAAATCTCCAAATAAGAGCTATTACCTCTATGTGAAATTTCATCCACCAAACTTAAACGGTATTTAAGTTATCGGTATTTTAGAAACTGGAAAGTTGACACTTCCGGATGTCGGAGGTCACTTAGAAATTTAAAATAATCGAAGTATAAAATCTTAATCTAATCTTTTAGATTTCGTCCACCCAATTGAAAAAGCACTTACGCTATCGAGTTCCCATGGAAATTGAGTAAAGTACCACTTAAAAACGTTTCAATATTGATAGAAAGCTGAACAAACAATCTCATAATCATCAGTGTTCCCTCTAAGCTGCGCGGCTGCGCGGCCGCGCAGTACTTTAAAATGTGCCGCGCAGACATTTTCTGACCCCGCGCACAGATTATCAGAACGTCGGGCTAGCCTGATTCACAAGGAAAATTGTGGCCAGTGGTTTGAATTAAGCGACATTTTTAGTGCCTGTTTTGTTAAACGAACAGTCTTTGTGTTTTGGGGTATAAACATTGACTGGAGGGAGGGGGTGACCTCGGTTGTCATAGCACAGGTCTAGTTTATGACTTAACTCTCACCTGAGCGGGGCTGTGTGACACTCCCATTGCTTGATTTAATGGTTTAGCCGAAAACTGACCGGAGCTGACATCTAATACCTGCATTGTATTGTGAATTGAAGCTGACCCTGCAAGTTTTTTTAATCGTCGCTTGCCCCCGCCCCTCCCCCCCCCCTCCTCCTCATCTTGAAACTTTGACGATTAAGCCAAGTCAGATTCAAGTTTTACGTTGCTTAAGGTGGATGTTTTTGCTGTGTTTGGTTTAAAGATTTATATATTATATATCCGATTCTTGGGATTATTACGTGCATGTGGATCGAAATGTTTTAGTACGCACACACTGCTTTGGTAAATCAGAAATAAATGTCCACAACTGTGTGCTATTTGAAAATGTTGGGGAAAAATGTGTGTAACAAGCAGTACAACAATGTGGCACAAAAAAAAAAGCGATAGATTCGTTTAAACTGGAATGGCTCAAAGTTAAAGTAACAACCGATACGCCAGATCAAAGAATGTTTCGGTTGAATTAGAAAGCATCTACAAATATTCCGATGAGATTGGACTGAAGTGTAAGTTCTGTGCTGCTACTACTTGTAACAAAAGCAACAAGAGCAACGAATTGGTCACAGGAACGGATAATGTTCTTCTTACCATAAGGATGAACGCCTCGATGCTGTCGGTACAACTGATTCATAACCACATGGGGAAGTATGTTTCTATACCAGACAGTTGGCGAAGTAAGAAATACGCCTTTGAGTTTGTTCAAGTAATCAACGAGGTTGTTGTAAAGAACATACTGACAGAACTTCGAGCAACATCATTCCACACGCTTATAGTTAATGGCATAACAGTACATAAAATGCTAATCCTTTATTTTAAATTTCGTCCAGTCAATTCTGTATTCTACAAAATCGTATTTAGTGGAATAACTCAGCTCTGAAAACAGCCGTAATAAAGCACTACACTGAACATTAAAACCAAGAAAAGTGTGAGTTAAACGAAAGAATCGACACAAGGCAAACCACACAGTACAGCCAATCAGTCTGCGACCATTTAATGTTAGGTTTCCAGGAGATGAACTGCAGTTTTGGATATCTTATTTTATTCTACAGGTTTAAAAAAATGCATTTGAGTTTGGCGTCAAAGATATCAAACAACTGTGCGTAAAGTACAAAGACCGGTTACGTACAACAAATGATCAGTTAATTACCACCCAATACAACGACTCCAAATTTCGATAAAGTGAAAAGACTCAAATCTGTTTCTGTAAATTATATGTCTGAATATGCAAGATTTGTCAAACAAAGAACAATTTAGCTCACTTGCAAAGTTAAGTGACATTATTGTACCTTCCAAGCATGCAGTGCTGTTTACGAACAAGGTTTTAGCCTTATTAACATAATAAAAGTGCAAGCACGAAATAGACTTGAAGCCACACATTTGGAGAATCTAATGCAAATTAAATTATATCTCAATGCTGAAGAGGATGTGGATTTAAACAAAGCATATAAGGTGTGGAAGCAATGCAAGGCTAGACGCGAGAAATTGCAATAAATGCCCCTGAAAGGTTAGCTAATATTTGTTTTTAAGTCCGCTTTATTAAATGTTGCATATGTTAAACTATTGTGTTTGTATTACCGTTATGGTATTAGCATTATTACCATAAGCCTGTCTTACTTAACACAGTAAGTCGACCATATAACTTGTTGTCTAAGTATAACTCTGAAAGTTTTTATTATTTATTTTTTATTTTGATGGTATTCGTATCTCCATTTAATTGCATACGTTCCATTAGTCACACATATTATTCCATTAATTTATCAAAATGCATGCCTTCATTACTCTGCTTAATTGCAAGCCTAAACATACATATAAACTGGCCCTAGTCATTTTTAGCACCGCGCACACAACATATTTTTTGCACACACACTCTTGGTCCTTAGAGGGAACATTGATAATCATATGAACTTTTGTTCATCTAATTTAAACTTCCGGAAATTGCTCAAAAATTGAAAGAAATTAACACACTATACTAAAGTTATGAAATTTCTTTAATCTAACTGAAATGTTACTCAGTTATCGTGTTTACATACACAGACAGACAGAAGATATTGCAAAACAAAGTTTTCCGAAAACATCGGACGCTTGCCTGCGAACCTGATAGTCTCGAGTTCGAATCCAAGTGAGTAGAACGTTTATCCAGCTCTGATGGGTACCTAACTCATGTTAGTGAAAGTAAAGGCGACTGGGTATAGCGTTGACCACACTATCCCTTCATATAACGGGGTCTCATCAGCTTTCACTTTACCTGAGTCAGGTACCCATCAAAGCTGAGTTGACTCAGGGACGTATTTGGCCAGAATCAAAACTCGAGACTTACGGGTTAGCAGCCCGAGCACACCAAAACTTTGAATGAAATGAAACTTTTTCATTTGTTTTTCTTACCGGACCAAAAACAGAAGTTTAAAATTTGGACTGTTCTCCAGGAACCACTCGGCCCACTTGGCGCGGAATCGGATGGTTTTTACAAAAGTTGTCTTGTGGTTCTGGCAGGTTTTTAAAAAGTGGAGGAAACAGGCAAGGTGGAGGACGCCATCTTTCTGAAACAAATATTTTTGACATTTCATTTAGCGCTTGCTAATTAATTTATATACTATTTTTGAAAAATGGCATGTTATATAGCAAAATATCACTAATACACAATATTCTACAGGCCTACTAGATTTTACATTTGGATTTAAGTCAACAGTTTAGAATTAGGTTCATGTTTATGTTAAGCCATATACGTATTATTATATTATTCAACGAGTGTAAAACAAATAAACAATTTTACAAAAAAATTTTTTTGGACGTAAACGCAAGTAGAACATATGAACAATTTTACATCTAAACTAATGAACAATAATTTCACAACTAACTTTTGCACGTATTTAACGAACAACTTTACAACTAAACAACTTTACAAGTAACTTTTGCACGCAATTAACGAACAAATTTGCTTATAGAATTAATGAACAGTTTTACAACTAAACTAATGAACAGTTTTACAACTAACTTTTGCACAAAACTAACGAACAAATTTGTATATAGAATTAATGAACAACTTTACAACTAAATTTTGCACGTAACCAACGAACACATTTGCATAAACAGTTAATGAACAATTTTACAACTAATTTTTGCATTGCACGCAACTAACGAACACATTTGCTTATAGAATTAATGAACAGTTTTACAAATAAACTAATGAACAGTTTTACAACTAACTTTTGCACGCAAATAACGAGCAAATTTGCATATAGAATTAATGAGCAACTTTACAACTAAACTGATGAACAACTTTACAACTAATTTTTGCACGTAACTAACGAACAAATTTGCATATAGAATTAATTAACAAGTTTACAACTAACTTTTGCATTGCACGCAACTAACTGAAATTTGCATACAGCATTAATGAGCAACTTTACAACTAAACTAATGAACAACTTTTCAACTAACTTTTGCACGTAAACACACGTAGAAATCTTTAGTGGCGTCACTGTTCTTGTGCTGGGCGTTGTCTAAAGCATAGATATCTTCCAGTTGAAATTTACAGTTTAGGAATGCATTGATTATGGCCCTTGATTCTAGCTCTTTGTCATTTCTGAAATGTACACGAATACAATAATGAAGAATAATCGCTAATATGAATATTTTTTAAATAAAATGGGATGGTTAACCGTATCAAAATCTCTACTGGTTCGTATTATGTTATTTGTTTTCTGTAAATAATATTTTTGGTGATAGTTACAGTTAGGAAGATATAATGGGGAGGTAACTAAAATTTGATAATATAATATTTAAAATAAATACATTTGATACAAGTTAAAAGAGAACGATGAATTAGGAAATAGTGAGTAAATAAAGTAAATTATTAAAAACATGCTGTTAAAATTTAAATACCTTTTTTTCAAGAACATATCTTTTAGTCTAAATTCTAGGAAACGCTCAATTATTGTGTATTACTATTAGAATTATACCGTTTTAGAGCTTTGGAAATCTTTTAGGTTTTAGAACGGTAGTTAAACGGCTGATGTACAACCAAAAAGAATCGGCAGGTATTTTTCTGCTGTGTGGCTGTTGATGTGTGACTGTTGTGTGACTGTTGTGTGACTGTTGTGTGACTGTTGATGTGTGACTATTGATGTGTGACTGTTGATGCGTGACTGTTGATGTCTGACTGTTGATGTGTGGCTGTTGATGTGTGACTGTTGTGTGACTGTTGATGTGTGACTGTTGATGTGTGACTGTTGATGTGTGACTGTTGATGTGTGACTGTTGATGTGTGACTGTTGTGTGACTGTTGATGTGTGACTGTTGATGTGTGACTGTTGATGTGTGACTGTTGATGCGTGACTGTTGATGTGTGACTGTTGATGCGTGACTCTTGTGTGACTCTTGTTGTTGTGTGACTGTTGATGTGTCACTGTTAATATGTGACCCTAGTGTCACTGTTTTCCGACTGTCCAAATCACACCAAGCGACCGCCACCTTTGTGATAAACGAAAAAGCACAATGGCCTTCACCTTTACGACTAACAACAACCTTCACCTTAATTCTAACGTTAAAAAGACAGCTTCCAGAAAATAATTAAACAATGAAGCACAAACACAATAAATTTATAATAGAAAGTAATTTCAAATGTGATTTTAAAAAAAAAGTATTGTATAAAAATGAATGAATCAGTTTAAACTTTATCATAACAAAATTTTCTTTAACATTCTTGTCTTAAAGTGTAAACAGAAAACTTGGTTACCCGTTTAAATTATACACTACAATTTTTCATTCCGTTTTTCTTATATTTATTTTCCCCAAATATTTTGCCTGAACAGGCAGTTTAAATCAAATGTAGATCTAGTTATTGACATTTTAAAGCCAATTTTATATTGCTTTAATTAACCTGTAGTAGTTTTTACTGATTTAAATGAAATATTTTCTGTAAATAAAACATTTTTTTTCCCGAAACGATATTGTAAACTCCACTTCAACAGAGTTTTTACATGGAGTGTCAAATCCCCACCCCCCCCCCCCCCCACCCCCAACAATGATGCAAACTGGAAAAGTCTAGCAGTCTAAAATGTAAACTAGAAGCGACAACGAATTTTACTTAGCAAATGTACGTAGTCGGTGCCATCCCCTGCTGAGGAAAGTTTACAATTGGAGTTAAAGTAAGTTTAGAAGTTTACAATTGGAATTAAAGTAAGTTTAGAGGTTTACAATTGGAATCAAAGTAATTTTAGAATTTTCAATTTTAATTAAAGTAACTTTAGAAGTTTACAATTTGAATTAAAGTAACTTTAGAAGTTTACAATTTGAATTAAAGTAACTTTAGAAGTTTACAATTTGAATTAAAGTAACTTTAGAAGTTTACAATTTGAATTAAAAAAACATTATAAGTTTATAATTAGAATTAAAGCAACTTTAAAAGATTACAATTGGAATTAAAGTAAGATTAGAAGTTTACAATTTGAATTAAAGTAACTTTAGAAATTTACAATTTTAATCAAAGTAACTTTAGAAGTTTCCAATTTGATTTAAAGTAACATTATAAGTTTACGATTTAAATTAATGTAACTTTAGAAGTTTACAATTTTAATTAATGTAACTTTAGAAGTTTACAATTTGAATTTAAGTAACATTAGGCTGTAAAATAAAAGTAACATTCCTGAACTTAAAGCAGTGTTTCTTTCTGACATTTTTCTCCGTGGGGTGAGGGTACTTGAAACTTTTGGGGTATACTGGGGGTGAAAGTGGGACTTAAATTTCCCGGGGAGGGCGGATAGTGGTTAAAGTATATACTATGTATAAAAATTTCGTTCGCGGGGGGGAGGGTATGTTAGACTGAAAGAAACACTGACCTAAGTAGTCGATAATGTTTAACTTTTGTCTTAAAATACAGAAACCACCATCTTTTCAAATATAAAAATATGCACACATTTAATAATTTACTAAAGACGTTTTCATGTTTTAAATATTCTTTAGCGTTTTGCCACAAAAATTTGGGTCCATAAGAAACCACCTTTCCTCCCGTTTAGTAAACACAGGACTTAATAATAAAGCTAAGACTAGATCATGTGTCTATAGAATTTAACGTAAGCTACATTTAATAAACATTCGATCAATTTTCAATTAAACATATTGCTAACACACCACAAGTCAGCAATGGCGTCACTAGGTCGGGTGTCACCCGGTGCGGTAACTGAGGGTGTCACACCACCCCACAACAACAAATTTGCATTTTCGGTTTGGTCCCCTAATATTTTTTATTGAACTGGATAAAACATTGTTTTGACAGTAAATTTTACTATTTTGTTTGTCGTAGTGCCACCCTTTAAATGGTGTTACCCGATGTGGACGCCCCCCCCCCCCCTCCGCCTTGTGACGCCACTGCATGAAGGTGTTACATTAACACATCACGTAGTAATGCACGTAGTAATACATTATTTTAGTTAGTTACATCTGGGTTAGCATTTATATAAATGTATCAATAGTATAGGATGGTTTTTACCTCCCTTATGTATAAGCACTACTTACACGAAAGCTCTCACTTACATGAAAGTCCCACACACATGAAAGCCCCACTTATACGAAAGCCCTACTTACACGAAATCCCCACTTACACGAAAGCCCCACTTACACGAAAGCCCCACTTACATGAAAGCCCAACTTACATGAATGCCCCAACCCCCATTCACACGAACCCCACTTATATGAAAGCCCAACTTACACGAAAGCCCCCCCCCCCACTTACACAAAAGCCCCCCATTTACACGAACCTCCCACTTACAAGGAAGCTCCACTTACATGAAAGCCCAACTTACATGAAATCCCCACTCACATGAAAGCCCCACTTTTACGAAAGCCCCACTTACACGAGAGCCACACTTAAACGAAAGCCCCCACTTACACGGAAGCTCCACTTACATAAAAGCCCCATTTACACAAAAGCCCTACTTACACGTAAGTCCTACTTACACAAAAGCCCCACTTACACGAAAGCCCCACTTACACGAAAGCCCCACTTACACAAAGCCCCCCCCACTTACACGAAAGGCTTTCTCTGTTCAGCCTCTATCTGCCTCATAACGACATACAAAGGTTCAAAGGTGAAGAAAACATCGGGGTGGTGGCTAATGAGGGCAGAGGTGAAGGACGAGCCGCTCCGGCCGTAGGTCATCAGCAAGACTTGGAGTTTGGGTGGCCCCACGCTCACAGTTGACCCGCTGGGGGTGGGGGATGACGTCATTGGGTGCGGCGATGACGTGTTTTCTATGTAGATAATTTTGTAGGTCAGCCCTGGAGGAAAAAAACATTTATTTTGAAATCAGGGCTTTGGAGGAGGTAGGGCAAGTATGGAGTCATAATTTTTTGAGCGTGGAGCCAGTGTTTCTTCCAGGCATATCTGAAAGTCTACCCCCACCCCCCAGAACGAAATGGAATTTATATAGAAAATATATACTTTTACCAGTGTCCGCCCTCCCCCCCCCCCCTTGGAAATTTTAGTCCGCCTCCTCCTAAAATTTCAAGTGCCCCCCCTCCCCCACCTCGGAGAAAAAAGTCTGGAAGAGACATTGAGTGGAGCGTTGGGGAAATGACAAGAATAAGTTATGACAAGAGTGAGTTGTGGCAAGAGTGAGTTGTGGCAAGAGTGAGTTGTGACAAGAGTGAGTTATGGCAAAAGTGAGTTGTGACAAGAGTGAGTTATGACAAGAGTAAGTTATGACAAGAGTGAGTTGTGACAAGAGTGAGTTGTGGCAAGAGTGAGTTGTGACAAGAGTGGGTTGTGACTAGAGTGAGTTGTGGCAAGAGTGAGTTGTGGCAAGAGTGAGTTGTGACAAGAGTGAGTTATGGCAAAAGTGAGTTGTGACAAGAGTGAGTTATGACAAAAGTGGGTTGTGACAAAAGTGGGTTGTGACAAGAGTGGGTTGTGACAAGAGTGAGTTGTGACAAGAGTGAGTTGTGACAAGAGTGAGTTCTGGCAAGAGAGGGTTGTGACAAGAGTGAGTTCTGGCAAGAGAGGGTTGTGACAAGAGTGAGTTGTGACAAGAGTGAGTTGTGACAAGAATAGGTTATGACAAGAGTGAGTTGTGACAAGAATAAGTTATGACAAGAGTGGGTTGTGACATGAGTGAGTTGTGACAAGAGTGAGTTGTGACAAGAGTGAGTTGTGACAAGAGTGAGTTGTGACAAGAGTGAGTTGTGACAAGAGTGAGATGTGACAAGAATGAGTTGTGACAAGAGTGAGTTGTGACAAGAGTAAGTTATGACAAGAGTAAGTTATGACAAAAGTGAGTTGTGACAAGAGTGAGTTGTGACAAGAGTGAGTTGTAACATGAGTGAGTTGTGACATGAGTGAGTTGAGACAAGAATAAGTTATGACAAGAGTGGGTTGTGACATGAGTGAGTTGTGACATGAATAAGTTATGACAAGAGTGAGTTGTGACAAGAATAAGTTATGACAAGAGTGAGTTGTGACAAGAATAAATTATGACAAGAGTGAGTTGTGACAAGAGTAAGTTATGACAAGAGTGAGTTATGACAAGAGTGAGTTGTGACAAGAATAAGTTATGACAAGAGTGAGTTGTGACAAGAGTGAGTTGTGACATGAGTGAGTTGTGACAAGAGTGAGTTATGACAAGAGAAATTTATGACAAGAGTGAGTTGTGACAAGAGTGAGTTGTGACAAGAATAAGTTATGACATGAGTGAGTTGTGACATGAATGAGTTGTGACAAGAGTGAGTTGTGACAAGAATAAGTTATGACAAGAGTGAGTTGTGACAAGAATAAGTTATGACAAGAGTGAGTTGTGACAAGAATAAATTATGACAAGAGTGAGTTGTGACAAGAGTAAGTTATGACAAGAGTGAGTTGTGACATGAGTGAGTTGTGACAAGAATAAGTTATGACAAGAGTGAGTTGTGAAAAGAGTAAGTTATGACAAGAGTGGGTTGTGACATGAGAGCGAGGAAGAAGAAGAAAATATCTTTCAGTATTAAAATTAAGAGCGAGGAAGAAGAAGAAAATATGTTGCAGTATTAAAATTAAGAGCGAAGATGAAGAAGCACAAAATAGCAGAGCCTTCACCTAAGACCAGGCCACCACAAGTCCAAGGCACTCACCACTGGAGTTGTTAAACCACAAAGTCCCGACCGAAATTGAATTTATATAGAAAATATATGGTAAAGTCTTGAAGAAACATTTAGTTGTGACAAGAGTGAGTTATGACAAGAGAGAGTTATGACAAGAGTGAGTTGTGACATGAGTGAGTTGTGACAAGAGTGAGTTGTGACAAGAGTAAGTTATGACAAGAGTGAGTTGTGACATGAGTGAGTTGTGACAAGAGTGAGTTATGACAAGAGAGAGTTGTGACATAATGAGTTGTGACAAGAGTGAGTTGTGACAAGAGTAAGTTATGACAAGAGTGAGTTGTGACAAGAGTGAGTTGTGACAAGAGTGAGTTATGACAAGAGAGAGTTATGACAAGAGTGAGTTGTGACATGAGTGAGTTGTGACATGAATAAGTTATGACAAGAGTGAGTTGTGACAAGAGTGAGTTATGACAAGAGTGAGTTATGACAAGAGTGAGTTGTGACAAGAATAAGTTATGATAAGAGTGAGTTGTGACAAGAGTAAGTTATGACAAGAGTGAGTTGTGACAAGAGTGGGTTGTGACATGAGTGAGTTGTGACATGAGTGAGTTGTGACATGAGTGGGTTTACGACCAGATTGGCGCATAATATGTTGATATTTAATACGAAATTGTGTTAGAGAAAAATCTCTTTCAGTATTAAAATATAAGAGCGAAGAAGAAGAAGAAAATCTCTTTCAGTTTTAAAATTAAGAGCGAGGAAGAAGATAAAAATCTCTTTCAGTTTTAAAATTAAGAGCGAGGAAGAAGATGAAAATCTCTTTCAGTATTAAAATATAAGAGCGAAGAAGAAGAAGAAAATCTCTTTCAGTTTTAAAATTAAGAGCGAGGAAGAAGATAAAAATCTCTTTCAGTTTTAAAATTAAGAGCGAGGAAGAAGAAGAAAATATCTTTCAGTATTAAAATATAAGAGCGAAGAAGAAGAAGAAAATCTCTTTCAGTTTTAAAATTAAGAGCGAGGAAGAAGATAAAAATCTCTTTCAGTTTTAAAATTAAGAGCGAGGAAGAAGATGAAAATCTCTTTCAGTATTAAAATATAAGAGCGAGGAAGAAGAAGAAAATATCTTTCAGTATTAAAATTAAGAGCGAGGAAGAAGAAGAAAATCTCTTTCAGTATTAAAATATAAGAGCGAGGAAGAAGAAGAAAATATCTTTCAGTATTAAAATTAAGAGCGAGGAAGAAGAAGAAAATATCTTTCAGTATTAAAATATAAGAGCGAGGAAGAAGAAGAAAATATCTTTCAGTATTAAAATTAAGAGCGAGGAAGAAGAAGAAAATCTCTTTCAGTATTAAAATATAAGAGCGAGGAAGAAGAAGAAAATATCTTTCAGTATTAAAATTAAGAGCGAGGAAGAAGAAGAAAATATGTTGCAGTATTAAAATTAAGAGCGAAGATGAAGAAGCACAAAATAGCAGAGCCTTCACCTAAGACCAGGCCACCACAAGTCCAAGGCACTCACCACTGGAGTTGTTAAACCACAAAGTCCCGACCGAAATGGAATTTATATAGAAAATATATGGTAAAGTCTTGAAGAAACATTTAGTTGTGACAAGAGTGAGTTGTGACAAGAATAATTTATGACAAGAGTGAGTTGTGACATGAGTGAGTTGTGACAAGAGTGAGTTGTGACAAGAGTAAGTTATGACAAGAGTGAGTTGTGACATGAGTGAGTTGTGACAAGAGTGAGTTATGACAAGAGAGAGTTGTGACATAGTGAGTTGTGACAAGAGTGAGTTGTGACAAGAGTAAGTTATGACAAGAGTGAGTTGTGACAAGAGTGAGTTGTGACATGAGTGAGTTGTGACAAGAGTGAGTTATGACAAGAGAGAGTTGTGACATAGTGAGTTGTGACAAGAGTGAGTTGTGACAAGAGTAAGTTATGACAAGAGTGAGTTGTGACAAGAGTGAGTTGTGACAAGAGTGAGTTATGACAAGAGAGAGTTATGACAAGAGTGAGTTGTGACATGAGTGAGTTGTGACAAGAATAAGTTATGACAAGAGTGAGTTGTGACAAGAGTGAGTTATGACAAGAGTGAGTTGTGACAAGAGTGAGTTGTGACAAGAATAAGTTATGACAAGAGTGAGTTGTGACAAGAGTAAGTTATGACAAGAGTGAGTTGTGACAAGAGTGAGTTGTGACAAGAGTGAGTTGTGACAAGAGTAAGTTATGACAAGAGTGAGTTGTGACATGAGTGAGTTGTGACAAGAGTGAGTTATGACAAGAGAGAGTCATGACAAGAGTGAGTTGTGACAAGAGTGAGTTGTGACAAGAGTGAGTTGTGACAAGAATAAGTTATGACAAGAGTGAGTTGTGACAAGAGTAAGTTATGACAAGAGTAAGTTATGACAAAAGTGAGTTGTGACAAGAGTGAGTTGTGACAAGAGTGAGTTGTAACATGAGTGAGTTGTGACATGAGTGAGTTGAGACAAGAATAAGTTATGACAAGAGTGGGTTGTGACATGAGTGAGTTGTGACATGAATAAGTTATGGCAAGAGTGAGTTGTGACAAGAATAAGTTATGACAAGAGTGAGTTGTGACAAGAATAAATTATGACAAGAGTGAGTTGTGACAAGAGTAAGTTATGACAAGAGTGAGTTATGACAAGAGTGAGTTGTGACAAGAAGAAGTTATGACAAGAGTGAGTTGTGACAAGAGTGAGTTGTGACATGAGTGAGTTGTGACAAGAGTGAGTTTTGACAAGAGAGATTTATGACAAGAGTGAGTTGTGACAAGAGTGAGTTGTGACAAGAATAAGTTATGACAAGAGTGAGTTGTGACAAGAATAAGTTATGACAAGAGTGAGTTGTGACAAGAGTAAGTTATGACAAGAGTGAGTTGTGACAAGAATAAGTTATGACAAGAGTGAGTTGTGACATGAGTGAGTTGTGACAAGAGTGAGTTGTGACAAGTGTAAGTTGTGACAAGAGTGAGTTGTGACAAGAGTAAGTTACGACAAGAGTGATTTGTGACATGAGTGAGTTGTGACATGAATGAGTTGTGACAAGAGTGAGTTGTGACAAGAATAAGTTATGACAAGAGTGAGTTGTGACAAGAATAAGTTATGACAAGAGTGAGTTGTGACAAGAATAAATTATGACAAGAGTGAGTTGTGACAAGAGTAAGTTATGACAAGAGTGAGTTGTGACATGAGTGAGTTGTGACAAGAATAAGTTATGACAAGAGTGAGTTGTGACATGAGTGGGTTGTGACAAGAGTGAGTTGTGACAAGAATAGGTTATGACAAGAGTGAGTTGTGACAAGAATAAGTTATGACAAGAGTGGGTTGTGACATGAGTGAGTTGTGACAAGAGTGAGTTGTGACAAGAGTGAGTTGTGGCAAGAGTGAGTTGTGGCAAGAGTGGGTTGAAAAGAGTGAGTTATGACAAGAGTGAGTTGTGACAAGAATAAGTTATGACAAGAGTGAGTTGTGACAAGAGTAGGTTATGACAAGAGTGAGTTGTGACAAGAATAAGTTATGACAAGAGTGAGTTGTGATAAGAGTAAGTTATGACAAGAGTGAGTTGTGACATGAGTGAGTTGTGACAAGAATGAGTTGTGACAAGAGTGGGTTGTGACAAGAGTGAGTTATGACAAGAGTGAGTTGTGACAAGAGTGGGTTGTGACATGAGTGAGTTGTGACATGAGTGAGTTGTGACATGAGTGAGTTGTGACATGAGTGAGTTGTGACAAGAGTGAGTTGTGACAAGAGTGAGATGTGACAAGAGTGATTTGTGACAAGAGTGAGATGTGACAAGAATGAGTTGTGACAAGAGTGAGTTGTGACAAGAGTGAGTTTTGACAAGAGTGAGTTGTGACAAGAGTGAGTTGTGACAAGAGTGAGTTGTGACAAGAGTGAGTTGTGACAAGAGTGAGTTGTGACAAGAGTGAGTTGTGACAAGAGTGAGTTGTGACAAGAGTGAGTTGTGACAAGAGTGAGTTGTGACAAGAGTGGGTTTACGACCAGATTGGCGCAAAACATGTTGACATTTAATACGAAATTGTGTTGGAGAAAAATATCTTTCAGTATTAAAATATAAGAGCGAAGAAGAAGAAGAAAATCTCTTTCAGTATTAAAATATAAGAGCGAGGAAGAAGATGAAAATCTCTTTCAGTATTAAAATATAAGAGCGAGGAAGAAGAAGAAAATCTCTTTCAGTATTAAAATATAAGAGCGAGGAAGAAGAAGAAAATATCTTTCAGTATTAAAATTAAGAGCGAGGAAGAAGAAGACGAAAATATCGTTCAGTATTAAAATTAAAAGCGAAGAAAAGAAGCACAAACTAGCAGAGCCTTCCCCAAAGACCAGGCCACCACAAGTCCCAGACACTCACCACTGGAGTTGTTAAACCACAAAGTCCCGACCGAAACAAACAGGAGAGTCCCCAGTATCACAGAGAACGTCAAGATCTTCTTCTTCTGGAACTTGACATGGACGTCTGCGCACAACTTCCGGCACCAAAACGTGCACGCCGAGCTCCACTCCGGCATGGTGGGAGGTTCGAGTCCACGTCTTGCCTACCCCTGGCTTCTTACACACGTCACATATTTGGGAGTTTCTGGGGTGTAACCTAACTAACGAAAAAAAATTGAAATAAAATATTCTTAATTAACATTTTAAAATATCAATAGAGGAAAGAATACACAAAGAGCGGGTGTAAACAAAATATATTGATGTCCTGTATAATGGGACGGCGTGGCTTAGAGGTAGAGCGCTAGCCTGCGAACCAGAAAGTCTCAAGTTCGATTCCGGGTTCATGTCAGTTGAACGTACTGAGTCTACTCAGCTCTGATGGGTACCTAACTCACGTCGCTCCCTGGATTATCAGGTTTGAAAAGGGGACTTAAATGTATAACATTTCATCTCATCGTTGAACCTCACCTCAATACACAATCACCTCACTTATGAGATAACAGAGTGTACTTAAGATGACATCGCGTGATTTCGTTTCCCTGTTTGTATGTCACGCTGCTGACATTTGATTTGTTAAATACAACATTCCATTTGTTTGTATACAGCATTCCATTTGTTTATATACAACATTCCATTTGTTTATATAGGCCTACAACATTCCATTTGTTTATATAGGCCTACAACATTCCATTTGGTAATATACAACATTCCATTTGTTTATATACAACATTCCATTTGTTTGTATACAACTTTCCATTTGTTTATACACAACATTCCATTTGTTTATATACAACATTCCATTTGTTTGTATACAACATTCCATTTGTTTATATACAACATTCCATTTGTTTGTATACAACATTCCATTTGTTTATATACAACATTCCATTTGTTTGTATACAACATTCCATTTGTTTATATAGGCCTACAACATTCCATTTGTTTGTATACAACATTCCATTTGTTTATATACAACATTCCATTTGTTTGTATACAACATTCCATTTGTTTATATAGGCCTACAACATTCCATTTGTTTGTATTCAACATTCCATTTGTTTATATACAACATTCCATTTGTTTGTATACAACATTCCATTTGTTTATATAGGCATACAACATTCCATTTGTTAATATAGGCCTACAACATTCCATTTGTTAATATAGGCCTACAACATTCCATGTGTGTAGTCCAACAACTACATATCGACACGGTTGCCCCAACGAGAAAGATAAAATTATTGGAAAAAAGAATTTCTTCCAGGCATCTATTCGGGGAAGGGGGGGGGGAGGTAGAAAAAAAAGGGGGGGGGGGGGTTCAGATGGTGCGACGTCACACTTTTGCTTTATAGATAAGAAATGTTAGAAAACGAATTTTAGACGTTATTTAGCGTTTTAGAAAACAGTTTTAATAAATAATAATAGGAATTGATTAAAATACTCTATGTTGACAGAGTTCTGACAAGATTTTGGAAAAATATCGATGTTTAAAAAAAAATTCAACTGCAATTTTGAGGGGGGTTGTAGGCTGAGAAGTGACGTCATTTTAGGGGGGGTCTGGCTTTTTGTGACGACGTGTGACGGAGGGGAGGGGGGGGAGGTAAAAATCGTCAAAAAAGGCGTGACGTCGATGTGACCTAGGGGAGGGGGGAGGGGGAGTAAAAATCGGGAAAAAAGCGTGACGTCATTTATGGATGACCACCTAACAAAGTAACCTCCGCCTTCTTACCTTTTTTTAGTAAAAAAAAACTTAAACCTTTACCCAGTCTGACTATCGACCGGCTATCCATTTTTCCCACCCCAGTAATTAACAACAGCCTAAAAAGCTATCCCATGTTTCCTACGACACTGTGAGGTTATGATAGAAATGGCCACATTTCAACATTTGTAATAAATGGGGGAAAAAAAAAAGAGAATGTCTTCCGTAAATACTTGCGTGACCACACCTCATTATAGCTCTTTATCTGACAAGTTTAATAAATTTAATTAGACAACATAAGTTTAAGAAATAAAAATCATCACAAATTTTTACGTCTTGAATATTAATTTAAGTAAAAATGACGCACAAAACACCTTATTTTGTTAAAATTAAAAAAGGTTTAATAGTTTTATGAAAATTGAGCATGTGATCAGAGAAATCCAATAAGTCCTGCGTAGTATAACATTACTGCGCATACTGCCACTATTAAATACTCTACATCGTCAACCCACACAGGTCCATCTCTTACATATATGCAGACGACAGAACATAAACAGCGAGACAACAACATAAAAAAACCAGTCCAATCAAACGCCACGCTTGAGTGTTCGGTCCAACAAATCACGTGCTTAAAACACGTGCCTCACATCTGATACCCATGGTCGCTATCACCCGCCCCCCGCCCCCCCCCCCCCGCCACACACACACGACATATACTTCCGCTGTCCATGAGAACAAGTCCAGGTTGTGTGTGTGTGTGGGGGGGGGGGGGGCGTAGGGCGTTAATTACGCTTTACACAGTCGTCTCCCCAGAGGCGCAGCGATGGGGGGGGGGGGGGGGCAGGGGGGGTACATATGTCCCCGGGCGCCGACCTTAGGGGGCGCCAAAATGGGTTGTAAAAACAAAATTAAAATGTCATTTCAGCTGCATTTTTGCATTATAAATAGTTTGAGTGGGGCGCCAAATTGAAAGTTTGTCCCAGGGCGCCGGGAAGGGTCGCTACGCCTTTGCGTCTCCCTAAGGGGGACTCCCGGCCCCATTATTGCGAGATACTGGGAGATGTAACGTTAAGATATTTTGTGAGATACTAACGGGGATGGTGTGAAGACACACTAATATACACACACATACATACATACGTACACGCACTTACATACACACGTACACGTACACACACACACACATATATATATATATATATATATATATATATATATATATATATATATATATATATATATATATATATATATATATATATATATATATATATACATGTATATAAATACATACATATAGGCCCTATATATAAAAAGATACACACACACATACACACGCACCCGCAAAAACATACAAATACACATACACACATGTATACACACATATATATGAATATATGTAGGCCTATATATAAATACATAAATTTATATATATATATATATATATATATATATATATATATATATATATATATATATATATATATATATATATAGGCTCTATAAATGAATATACCCATGCACATGCACAGATGCACATACACATACGCATACGCATACACATAGGTGTCTATGCTTGATATGGTTTGTATTTTAGTTGCCAAGAAAAATGGAAAGGCCAAACTCAACTATTTGAAATACATTCTAAAACATCCCTATCTTATCCAGATTTTTTTAAAGTTGTAGTGGCTGACGTCATTGGGGAAAGGGTTTTAAATAACTCGGCACGTGCAGATTATTTAATTCTATCAGTGACAGGCGTGACCTTGACCTCACATTTTTCGGCGCACGTCTGCACGCGAGGGTGTTGACAGTTTCCGTCTGATTTAAGTCTGTCTTTTGTCTGTCTCAGGCTTATCTGTTTGTGTCTGTCTGACATTTATCAGTCTATTTGACGCTAATCTGTTGTTTTTTTTGTGTGGATAAAGTGTCAGGATTTATTTTATTTGTCAAATAAAAAATAAATAAAAAAAATATAAAAAGCCTTTCTTATAAAAAGCTTTTAAATGCACTAAAATAAGATAACAATTTACTTTCTTTCATTAAAGCTTTGGTCGCTCATGTGTTCTTTTACATATTTTAGAAACCAAAGCTTTTATGAAAGAAAGCAATTTAGTTTTATTATCTAATTTTTTTCAGTGCATTTAAAAGCTTGCTATTAGAAATACTTTTTTTATATTTATTTTATTATTTTACTTTTTAGTAATTCATAATTTGTTAATTCGTTATTACCAATCGTGTGACTAAAAATATTTGCTTCAAAACGCTTTCAATACATCGTGAAAGACGCAGTCGTTGCATTAGAAGTGGGCAAAAAAAATGAGTTACAAGATTTGCCACAAACACACAAACAAACGAACAAACAGACGTTGTGAACTAAATAAAAGCTTATAAATACTGGGAGACAGAAAAAGTTTATTCTTAGAATTAAACGAAGGAAACTCTTCCATATTAAGGAAGTATTGCTCATCTATTGCATCTTAGAAAGACAACACAACATACACTTTATAATCCGCCGATTCTTGGCTATTTTATTTTCTGCCTTATATTTCAACACGGCGGAGACGTGGTAGGAGAATAGAGCTAACTCTAAAGTCTCGAGTTCGGATCCCGGGCTCGGTGCTATAGGTTATCCATGAGTCCACTCAGCTCTGATGGGTACCTGACTTACGTTAGGGAAACTAAGACGACTGTGCAAAGCGCAGAGGTTATTGAGACATATGAACTCCACTTCATCTGCCCATCTGTGTCTTGTGTACGAAAAGGGAAAAGACGATGTTATTGTGACTTCGAACGAACCCCCAAAATTCATTACCCCTTTTCCCAAAATACATTGATAATAAGATTTGCAGTGAAAATATTGCATGGAAGAAGCAAATAAACCGGGAGTGATCTCCTCTAAACTTTCTCGAATATTCTATTATAACACTACGTGGGATGGCAACTCGGAATATAGACATGATTTTTTTTTTACTTAAACTTTAATATTATGCACATTTTGTTTTGGCGTTCGCTTAATGCGCATTTCTATTTTCTATGAGATTCTATTATATTTTATAAAAGTTTAAGTATTTAAAATGGATTAAAAAACATAACTATATCCTGAGATCCCATCCCCTGATGTTTTGTATAAGAATATTCGAGAAAGTTTAGGGGAGATCACTCCCCGTTTATACTTTCTCGTATACAGAGTATAGAGAAAGTATTGTAATTGTGCACAAAATTCACATGAAATTTTGACAGTTTCAATTGTTTTACTTCTCAGTACTTTATCAGAAACGGAGTATATGGGACTTATTTTAATCGGGCAAAAATTCTAAATCCAGATTTATTAAAATTTCGGCGTTTTACGCGTAATCTTGTCGGAAAAACTGGACTTAGCAATTCTGTCCGGATGTGTGGATGTGTGTCTGTAAACACGATAACTTGAGTACC